CTTCATTTGCCTGCCCAGTTGTGGGACGCAAGCACATACAAAATCAGAGCAAACTTTGAACTGGAAAAAAACGTCTCATAAACCTTTGACTCATTTCATTCCCAAGTTGCTACTGGGATCATAAATATGACTTTGTAAAGAGAACAAAGCATTTGGCAAGCAGCAGAAAAAGGCAGACCTGAGTGTTTACTGCTGTTGAAGCAGCATAGCAGAAGCAATAAATAAAGTGTAGGCAAAGGGTAGAGACTATTTAATATCTTTGTATATGCCACGATTCAAATTCTTGACTCTGATGAGTTTATCAAAATACTTAAGGAAGCAGAGAGAGATATAATGTGCGACACTTATTACATTGAAGTATACCTGTTGCATGTTTGCTTTGGCTCAGTTTCTTTGAATGAAAACTGTGGTCCTTGTGAAAACTTGTGAACCCAAATGTTTACTATGCAGTTTCTAAATAATTGTGTTCTTTTAAAGGAGTTGTTTAGTTAGGCGGTAGTGTTTAGAGGACAGTACAGTACTAAAAATAAGAGGCCCCGTTCTTAAACTTTGAAGGAACCCGTTTTGGCCATAACTCAAGCTTTTATTTGCTCTTAAATTTCACAAAATGACAGTTATTAATTCTCTCTCCGACTGGTTGGCCATATATTACACTCCATCTCTGAGTGGTTTCCAAGGTTCTGATGGCTATTAGCAAGCAGGTAGACGTTTGTTCTAACTTTTGAGTTTTAGACAGGATCAATGCCAAATGAACATCAGAAACTGGCTGCCCGATAGGGAGTGCACTACCTAATGCTTTTAAGAAAAAAATACTTTTCTTTTGTTTCCTTCACATCCACCCACCCCTAATTCCCAGACATGACAGACTGATTGCAGTGCTCATCTGTTATCCATCCTGCTCTATTCTAACTGGAAAATTAGCTGGAATTATGCAGTAAGGACTTGATTTTAGAACAGCTTTACTGTTTTTAAATGTTCCAAAAGTTTGATTTATATCAGTATGAGAAAGGGGGTAAAGAAACCCAGGGATTCTGCTGTTTCGGCATGCTCCCTGTTTCTCTTCACTGCACTGCAGAAAGCAATACAACCCCCCCTCTTCTATATAGTGTGCAATGCTGACTTTTTGCATAATCTGTATACAGTATGAATAGAGGGTGAAACAGTATCTCTGTCTGATGCATGTAAAAGCAGAATATAGAAAGATAGTATCAACAGCTGATCTCATAATATTGAATCTAATATTTAAATGCATCTTTGCAATTAACAACGGTCCCAAAATAAACTATTTGCTCTGTACTGGCTTGCATCTGTTTTTTTTTTATGAAGACAGTGCATCGTTAAATTGTTGAGACTGACAGTTCACTGTACCTACCCCAGTATGTGAGGTAAACAATCCTCACATTCTCACCCCCCCCCCTCAGCCAATTAGCCTCACCCAGGAAGTCCCCATCAAACTGATTAGTGAGGCAGGTGCAAGTCCTGCCCTGACTCAAAATACTTTAACATTTTGAACTTTTTCCTGTAGGCTATATTATTAGACATTTAATAAGGTTGGCATCGCGGCCGTGCTTTGCTTCAATTCCCAGGGTGTGCTGTATGTTGTATGTTTTTCCCGTGTTCATATAGGTTTCCTCTGGATGCACCAGTGTCCTCCCACAGTCCAAAGACATACTCAGAGGTTAATTTGTTTCTGGGAAAATTGGCCCTTGCTGTCCTGTCCAGGGTGTGTCCTGCCTTGTGTGTCTTGCTTGTCTGGATAGGCTTCAGCTCCCCCACAGCCCTGTGTTGGATAGATGGATGGAAGTTATATAAGGACATTTTAGCTTTATTGTGCTTCTTTTTTCTGAACTACTAGAGGGTACATTTGCATGTTAAGAGCGCCTTTTGTGAAAATGTTTCTGCAATACCGTATGCTCTCAGGCATTTAGTGGCTGAGAGGCTTCGTCTGGCGAGTGCTTAACATTGAAGCCCCTTTAAAAAATGCACAGAACCTCAATATCCAGGGCTTCTGCAGCTTGCAAGGCAGCTGAGCTGGCATTGAATGAAACAGCTTCATACAGGAGAACGACAAGCGAGCAGGATTTGGCATGTCGGAGAAATCCGAGAGGCTGGAGGGATTCCTAGGAGGGCAGCTACATCTGTGGACAAAATTATCTGGTTCACATAATCTCATCACTTAACATGGCTGCCGGGATGCCATAAATATAAACAGAGAGAGGGGGATACCACATTGGCTACCTCCTCACAGAAAACCTGAAAATGACTTCTGCTTTTTTCTCTTTCATCTATTACTCTTTAATGTTATGGTAGCTGCCAGACCCAGACGGCTGCTAAGATCAGCTCACCCTGTAGAATGCATCAGCCACCTAAACACCATTCAGTGAGCTACCTGATCATGAGTAAAATCTTCCCATTATCTACACACAACAAAAGATAAGCAAACGCTTTGAGGGAAAGGCAGCTGTTTTGGACACGGCAAGACCTTTTCTCAACATTCAGACAGGGGTCATTCAACACCTCAGGCCAAAATCAAAAGTGTGTTTAAACTTTTCGGCTTCCTTATTACTGAATAAGTAAGTCGGAGTATTATTTTTACCTGCGTAGTTGTGTTTGCCCTGGCTGCTGGGTTCGTGTTACTTCTGAAAGGGGTGTGAGAAGAGTTTGTCAATCTGGTTGTTTGGTTTTATAGTGTCATCATGGTGTGGTGTCATCAGATTTTATACTGCTGAGGCGTGTATCTGTATGATACTTTTATATCATCAGGATAGTTGTGATTTTGTTTACCCAAAGACACACATAGAGTAGTTTTAGAAGATCCATTCTAATTTGGCTTAATAAAGTGAACTTGTGTAAGTTTATGGATTATTTTAATTTATGTGAACTTTATCTCTGATATGTTCAGTCAAAACAGAATTTCCACACTGATCGTCATTTGTCAGAATAACAGATGATTACTTTTTTATCTGCACTGTGCGATACCATGTTGAATGGCCTTGGTGCTGTGCTGTGTGATACTAATGTGTCAAACCCAAATGATCTTTCCTTTTAAGTTGGATGAAGAACTAATGTGCTCCTAACATTATGCATAACCAAGTCTGAAAGCTTACAACAGTCAGATGAATAAAAAGCAATTTTACTATATGCACATATAGGCTTGCTCACTGGTAAATTATTCTGGCTAAAAGCCACCTTCTACCCTCTACTGTTTTTAAAGCAGATATACTCTGATACCCTCTAGATTCTTGGAACCTCTGTGATTTTACTGTATTTACCTTGGTGAATTTACTAGGTAAATTCAGTTGCACTTCCAGGAGAGACTGCCTGATGTTTCATTTTATTTAAAGCTATCTGGAGCAAAGTGAAAACCTAAAACTTGCGTCATGCTTCAGATGGGTTTTGGCGAGCAGCTTGCACCGTGAAATCTGTTACAGTTGCTGAGAGGCGGAAAGGAGAGTAGAAGATATGGAGTGTTACCTTGTCCAGTGGACTTTTCAGCCTTATTCTGAGCTGCTGGTAAAATTCCTAGATTCCTAGGCTGGCAATTTTATTGTACTATCAGGGTGAATCTTACTACTTATATCAGGGCAGTGTTTCTTCAGCACTGTAGAAAGTCATTTTGGGTTCACTTGAAAAAAATATATAGACGATAGTTTGCTCTGAAGATTTTTTGACCTTATTAAACACGCTTTAAAGTCATCAGATCTTTAGCAAATTGTATTTGCCAGATTTTAGAAGGTCATTCTTTTAAGTAAAAAAATGAACCAAAAACGTTCACTCATAGTACGTTGTAAGACTTGCTGTATAAAAGCAGAGCATGAAAGCAATGCTTAAATGAGGTTTACTGGTGTTCATTACACATCCAATGTCCTGCTTATTTACACCTTTATAGATATGCTCATCCAGCTGAATATTTAGGTATCAAAACATTTAATCATTGTTAGGCTTTTTTTCCCTGCAAAAAATTGGAAGAGAATCTCCACTGAGCTAGTTTTTGTTTCTTTGCACTTGCTGAACTTTGAAATAACTTTGAAATCCTTAACTTTGCGAATTCTTTTGCAGTTGTAAGTAATGTTTCTTTTGATGCTCTGAATTCTTTTGAAGCAATGATCATTGTTTATGTTTCTATCTTACAATCATGTTTAGTTGCATATAGAGGACTTACTGGACTCTCCACTCAAGGCACTTTACAGGTGATGGGGTCTCCCCTCCACCACCACCAGTGTGTAGCTCCATCTGGATGATGCAACGGCAGCCAAAGTGCACCAGTATGCTCACCACACACCAGTTATTAGTGGGGAGGAGAACAGAGTGAGGAAGCCATTTCATAGATGGGGACTATTAGGAGGCCATGATTGGTAAAGGCCAGGGGGAAATTTGGCGAAACACCCTGGGATTTTTAATGACTGTGGAGAGTCAGGACCTCGGTTTTACGTTTAATCAGAAGGATGGCGTCTTTATAAATCACTATATGGTAATTTAAAATATTTTTTCACATTTGTTTCTTTACATATTGTTTTGGTATTTCTTAGATTTCTTTTTCTTCGGAGTTTACTGAGCCATGACCCCAGTTTGCTTGTCTTCACACAATGAATTTGTTCCAGACGTGGACTAAGGTTAACTTACTTTTCTTGTTTTGGCACTCTTTAAAATCTCACAAAAGTAGCTGCAGAACATAACACGAACATAACATTTGCTTAAAGCCCATTGCAGTACTTGGGTACAACAAGTACCTTACTTGTTACTGATCTCAGCACTCACCAAACAAACAGTTAAGTATCTAGTGCAGTGAAATGGATTTGAAGTCCCACGTTAGGTAGCCCTGGTGTGAAGTCATCCTGGCATTTTTATGACCTGCTCCTCCACCCTGTCATATTTCCCCAGGTGACCTGAAAGGGTAAAATCATCCCGTGCAGATGCTGTAGATCCAGAATCTGATGGGAGGAGTCTAAACGCCCACACTCTCCGGTTAATTGCTTGTTGTTTTTTGCCTCCTTTTAAAGGTGTAGCTTTGCTGGTTGCTCAGGAGGTCCCAGTGCACATTTCTATTGGCAGCCAGAGGCACTTTTGTTTGCAGACGCCGCCCAGTTCAGAGCTGGTGCCCCTTCAGTATATGGTTTGCGTCAGCAACAACATCAAAACCGTCCACCAGGAAGTGGGAAGCCAGCTTTCTGAGCATGAACGAGTGCTGCCAAACACTGACATTTTACGGTAATTAAATTCCGGCACAGCCAGTAATGCTCACCACTAGTGTCAGATTGGCCTCGAGACACACTGTGACCTCTGGCTGACCTAAACTCGGTCTGTCGCTGTTGCCATTCCTGAAAATATTTCACTCCAGCCTCCACTCCATACAGAAGGTAATATGCCTAACGAGGCACAGGGGTACTGTATATATTTTTTAATTACCCTTATTGTATTTGAAACACCCTTATTGAAAACTATTACCTATAGAATTTCTGTTTAAGATGAGACAGTTGTGTACATTAGAGAACATAAGAAAGTTTGCAGACGAGAAGAGGCTGTTCATCTTATTAAAGTTATTCATATTCTGAAGGGTTAGTGTAGCCTAAGTTCTATAATTTTTGTAATCTGAAAATGTGCTGTTGTTGAAAGCATAACATGTACACTTTTTCAGAGACTGCTGTTTTAAAGGAGATTTTCCAGGCATAGTGGAACAGAAAAAAAACAGGAAAAGTGTGTCATAATCCTGTTGTAATATGATACACATAGAAGTGTATGGAGTACTTACTATATATATATGAACAGAAATAATGACATCCACATGAAAGAATGATTTACTAATTTTAAATGTTTTAAGCAATCAAAAATTACTTTGTATAGGATTGGATCAGAATTGAGAACCACTTCTTTCTGAAACCCACAGATTGCCGTTCTGGAAGCTGTTGGTCAATGTGGATTCGGGGGTGAAAGTGGAGCGAGAGCTGAGGACGTTCCACAACCGGCTGAAGAGACACCGCCTGGGAGAGGGCGTTATCAGTATCGGTGAACATTCCACGATGTTGCTTTCTGATATGGTAGGTTCACGGAAATACACACTATTTCACACGGCTGGGAGTTATGTGCCGTAACTGGATCTCTTAAAAAGATGGGTCTGGGTCAAAACGCACACACAAAAGGTACAGAACCTGTGCTTTTTTACTTATAGGGCAAGAAAAAGAATCAGAATCCCTAAAACAAAAGCCTAAACGCTTCTTTGAGCTACTGACAAGACTTCCTCAGCGGACCTCTCTATAATTAGCCTGCTTACTGGTTTCCAAGCGCAAGTCTTTCTCCCAGATTCTCCCAAATATTTGCATCACTCCACAGGGCCCATGGTTTCGTTCTCTCGGCTCCTCTCTCACTACTCTGGCGGCACAAAGTCTAGTGAAACCTCCCTCTCTTCCCAGCTGGGAGATGTGGAACAATGTGGACTCACCACTTTCCTGTTTTTTCCTCAATCACCTGATCAGTTTTCTTCTATCTAGCTTTCTGGGGAGATGTTGCTCAGGCCAGTTTGAACTTGCTGTCCCCTCGTGACTTTTTAATATTGTTCTCCCTTTGTCAGGTGCCCTTCTCTTCCCATTTCAGCTGCTGAAATGCTTGTAACCGACTGTGGAAATCATGCAGCCATGCTATACTAAATATGAGCACCTTGACTTGGAGGCAGTACAACAGCTACAGAACACCAAGCACAAATTGAAACAGACACAACACAACACATTTGTACCTGCCAGCTTTATTTTAAGCATCAGTGCCTCCACAGATGATGGTGGAGAAGGCTTATTTATCCCTTGAGTGTAGACGTATTGGTGAAATATTTGGAGTATTCATTTGACTTATTTTAATATGTCAGAGATCTGCGTGTGGTAAAGAACATAACCTGATTTGTAATGACATTGATGCCTTTTCAGCTTAAAGATAAACTATAGTGGTTTGTATGTAATCAAAGGATATACAATATGGCTATTTCAGGAATTCATAAAGATTTGCTGAATCACAGACAAGGATGGCACTACGCATACACTGAAACTTAATCTCTTTTGTGATGGAAATTGGAGGTTGTAAACATTACTATGTACTTGGTAGTATCATTGTGGTTTGAAATGCACTCATCATTGCTGATTCATTATAACCCCAAATGTAAAAATAGCATTGCAGTTCCCCTTTAACAGGCCAGGATTTGTCATGCGAAAGATCTACATTGGCACAGAGACTGCATCCGTCATCAAATTGCAAGTTGTACTGTATTTATTGCTAACCTTTTTTTTAAAAAGGAAAAAAAAACAGTAAAACCGTGTCAAGTGGCCCACAGGGCAGTGACCTTTGGTGGTGTGTTTCTTCAAGAACCCCAACTGCTTGTGTTGCTGACCTTCAGTCTCAGCCTCAAGTTGTTTCACACTGTGTGGATTAGTCTTACAGCCGTTGCCAGGCCAAGGGGAGCACCTGTTGTGTGGGCCTCAGGACCGTCAACTGTAGTGTGAAAGGTTGGGGCTGAATGATTTATACCGGCAGAGCACTCAACTCTGAGCGAGCATAGATGACAGTCATATGGATTGTATTGGTGAACTCGAAGAACTTGGAAGTAGGATAACTTAGTTGCAGTGCAAAACAATGAAGCAATGTACAAGTACAATTATCACAGAAAATTAAATTCCAGGTAATACTGTACCCTACAGCTATGTAGTGTAAATTCAAAATATAATTGTGTCACACACAGCAAAAGAGAAGATGTGTGCTGTTTCACTAAAAAGGTTTTTTGTACATAGTTTTTATTTTAATGTTTTGCTGCACCTTTGTCATAATTTCTTTCAAAACCCTTTTAAAAACTACTGCTACTAGTAATACTGTATTTGCTTTAATCTCGTTGTTGCAACATACGTTTCATGGTTTTATATAAGTAATTCACAGAACTACATTAAAAAAAAAACATCTGATTTAGTTTAGTTTAGCCAGACCTGAGTAATGGTTCTATTTAGATGGATGATTTTTCAAGAATGTTTTTAACATTCTTTTTTAAGCAGTTAAAATAAAATGTATGTTCTGGCATTGGTCAAAAAGCTACCTATCATATAGACAATATAATTCATCAAAACATTCAAACCACAAATTACCCCCCCCCCACCACCACCACCATTAAAAACTTGTACAGGCTCTGCTTATGCTAACAGTGGCAGCAGTCTCTCTTATCATTGTATCCATTATCTACCTGGAGGGCCGGCATGACTTTTTGTTGCTTCACATTGCTTGTCTGATTTCTAGCTTGCGCATTCCAAGTTGCCTCTTTTAAAACCTGTCTTAATCAATGCCACAGTCTTAAAGTTCGGGAAAACTGATGTTGCTTTGATGCTTGAGAGTGGACCATAAGGGGTGACCTAAGAGCTTTGAAACTGCTGTGTGTCAGGGCATAAATATTACATATTAAAAGACACCAGCTGTGTTGTTAAGTTGGGTTTGACAGACAAAAGAGCTTGCAGTGGTCAGGGGTTTTCGGCTTGAAAGGTTTCGTAAGTGCATAAAGGCAATTGGTGAGAGCAGAGCATAACCTCCAAGTGGCTACTGAGCTCTAGAGTCAAATAGCTGTCTTAACTACTAGGGAGAAATAAGCAGACTGGATTTCCATATATATGTGCACAGTAAGTGTTTTAAATTTTTTGTAGCATTCTGGATTTCATACATTAATAAAGTGCCTCACGTGCAAAAACATGTCTCAAGGCACTGGGCAATAGAGTAATTAAATGACTGAAATATTAAAAGAGTGATTGAACAAAAAGGGTGGCATGTGGTCCAATGATTAGTATCATTGCCATGCAGCACTTCATCCTTGGGTTCAATTTCGAAGCCAGGGTGCGGTCTGTATTATGTTTGTTTGCTCTCATATTGTGTGTTGTGTGGGTTTCCTCCCACAGTCCAAAAACATACTGGTAGGTGAAGAGGCGTCTGGGGAAATAAGCCCTGGTGTGAGAGCGAGTGTGTCTGTGTCTGTCTGCCCTGTGATGGACTGGCATTCCATCCAGAGAGTTACCTGCTTTGCTCCTGTTGGTTGCTGGGACAGGTTCCGGCTCTCCCATGTCCCCGTATTGGATAAAGTGCTTAGAAAACGATAAGATGGATGATTAAACAAAAATTGGGTTGAGCTGTTTATTAAAATCCAAGAAGGTTGTGCGTTGTTCCTGTCGTGGTCCAGAGCTATGTGGTCAAACCAGTAAAAGAGTAGGCATCCCAAAATCACTGTGTGCTGTAATGACAAAGAATGGCAGGGTCTTCTCAGCATAATGCTCAGTTTGGGATTCAGCACAGTTTGTGTTTGAAAAGATACAGAGGATCAAGACTATGCAATGCTTTTATGGTAAGCAAAAGTATTTTATAATCAATTCTTGAAGAGACAGCGAGTTAGGGAAGATCAGATAAGCTGCTGAAGCATAGTTTGACTAAAAAGTTCTAGGAATTGAATTTTGAAGCTTTGGGAGATTACCAAATGGTGTAGTTTTAACCAAAGTTCGATTTTAATCTTGGCCATCCTATGTATGAAAACTCACTGGTTGCCCATTTGCCATTTTAACATTTCTGCAAATCAACCCATGGCAGTTGAATAGATGTGGAATTTCTACTTTACACTGTAGGGGATGTTTGACCTGTAGACTGAATAGGGTCATTGGCACTGAAGGCAGTGTTGTTACCATGTTGCCAAATGGCAGAATCCTGCCTGCCAAGGTAGTAATTGGCTGCTACATTTATCCAGGTAGTCTGGAATGGTTTGAGGCTTGAGCAACTCCTAATAGTATAAAACTGTTTTGTGTTTTTGGTAAAATTGAATGCCAAGTTTAAAATGAAAATATTGGGAGAGAAAGCATGATTTATGTTCTAGAAAATACATCATAGGTTCTACACAAAACAAGTATCAAATGAAAGCGTTCGTGTTTTTCACTTGCATGTGAAATACTACAGAGATTCAAACACCATATTAAGTAACAGGTCCACTTAATACTCTCATTAGCAATGTGATCGACAGAGCTCTACCTTTTAATGTTATCAGAAAAGAAGACATAAGAATCAGTTGCCCATAAAACATTACACCAGAAAACACAATTATACTGGCTGGAATAGAGATTTAGAGGAAACCTGCCAAAACTAACTCTTTTCAGGTAAACCTGATACATGGTAATGTACAAATCTGCCAATGAGCCAGCTAAAGGAGTTAGTCTTGCTGGATAATATTCCAAATGGGTTGTCTGTTATATCATGGGAGATTAGTTTCTTTTCCATCCATTTGCATTCCTCAGCCTAGATTACTTATACATTTAGACAGAGAGGACAAAGAGGAACTTGGCTCTGCTGTTTTGAAAGTATGCTTTGTGGTCTTTGTCAAACTACAGAAAAAGCACACCTCATAATAGAGAAACAGGAAACATTTTAAATAAATAAATCTTATCAATATAAACTCCTCTTTATATTTTATGCCATGGCATTTACTTTCATCCCAAACATTTACAGATGTATAAATTATGGCTAATGCTATGTTTTCTTTTTTTTATTATTTGACAATCCAGTATCATGAGTTGGATGAACTGCTTGGCATCATCATGCTTAGTAAGAAACCAGAAGTTTGTTTTAGACACTGAATTGATTATGGTTAAAGTACAACTGGGCTAATGGATTGTTTCGCTGTTTTTATTTTATCAATTTTCTGAATAATGCTGACCATATGTCAAACATAACATGTCCCAAAACATACAAAAATGGCAGAAAGATGAAGTTACCAATTTAGAATAAACACTAGTTTACTTTGGGATTTTAAGTGAAATTGATACTATTTATACAATCTTAATTTTAGTCTTTTTAACTGGATTATTTGTCTAAAGCTTAACTAAATGAAATTATTCAGTTCAAATGAAATTATACATGGATGTCTGAAAGAAGGTACTTTGCTTTATATACAGTAATTCTAGATTTTAATGGAAGAAAGGACATAAAACACATCATATGCAGTGATCATATACTTGTATATTGTGATGCCGCTGGGGGTATGGTCATCAAACAGGTCGTGTTAAAGGCAGGTTTCGATACAAAACACCCCAAAAACATATTTAAATGGCATAACTTAATTTTATAAAGAAAATAAGCTAAAATAATTCCTAGCTTGTCTAACGTGTCTATCTCACTCTTGTTTTCTAACTATCAGGTGTGGCTGTAGTTGATGATCATGACAGCTCATTAACACAACAAAAAATATATTTGCTGTCTATTAAAATACAAAAATATAATTTTCACCCAGCTCCAAAAATTGTACAATTCGTGGTCTTGTTTTCTGCTGGCCTTTAGCGTATTCAATTCACCTTCTGTTCAGAGTCCACACTTCTTCGTAGTGTGTTGCTTTGTTTTCCTCACCCTAGTTCATGGTGCACTATGTTTTTAAAATCCATGTGACTTTGCTTTTCATTTTTCATTTCTCTAGGATTTAACAAGTTTATTCCACCAGACATCTTCCTAGCAGCTCATTGACCTTGCCCCTTATAGTACTTCAATATTTACTGGTGTTTTGAGAATCTACATCGAGCATTTAAACAAACGTTGTTACATACGACATGGTGCAGTGATCACAATTTGGCAGTTTCCACTTCAGTTCTCAGTGTTTCAAATTCGGGAAAGGATCTTTTTGTAAGGGTTAAGCAGTTGAACTGTCTGCAACAGGGTGCGCACCTGTGCCAAGTTCCAGATATTACGTCACGCCGCCATTTTGTATGCTGGTCTCTTTTCACTGCCATATTGGTGCAGTCAAAAGCATAACAAAATCCATGATGTGCACAGGAAAATACCACCTATCGACTATACACCCCCTAGTGGCATTACAATATATGAATGGTGAATTTGAGTAAGTGAATGCATATTTTTGATTTACAAAATCTCAGATTGTTAATTCATATAAATTTGTATTGGGAAAAATGTCAGGCTAGTAAATCATTAAATTATATTAATTTCCAAACTCTTTTTAAAAAAGGGAGTTGTTTTGGGGAGGATAAATGGCAATGTTTTATTGTAGCTCCAGAAAATGTTATTTAACAGAAGTGTGGGAGGAGGGCAAAAAAACAAAAACAAAAAAAGTATACCAGAGTTGTGGAAGTCTAGAACAGGCTACCCAGCCATGTTGTCGAAGCTGATACCTTGACCAAGACCAATAGAAAAACTCTTTAATACTCAAGTTGACTTCCAGTGTAGAGCCAACATGGCCACTTGAGGTCAGGAGCTGTGGGGTTCAAGTGAAACTACTGCACGTGGCAAAGTCTCTATTTGGTAAATCTATAACTAAACAGTACATCCAGCTTATAGTACTATTGGGAAAAAAAATTGAGTAACCCACATTGCAGCCATGTCAGAGAAGCACCAAAGTGATTGTTAAGGAACAAGTAATAGGTTTATTCCATGCTGAAAAAAAGAAGAAAGAGAACACAACGTTTCGGCCGTGGAGCCTTCTTCAGGTGTGAGTGATTGTTATTTTCCTTTCTTTGTGATTGTTAGTTTCCTTTCTTTCTCTCTGTGATCAGCTCACACCTGGTAAAACAATTTAAGGAAATAAAAGCGCTGGTGGGCCTGCAGTACTGCTCTCCTGTTCATCCTTCCTCACTTCCAGACACAGATCACTACAGTATCCGTCCACATATTGATTTTCTAACCAGTTCAGGCTCATGGGGGAGCTGGAGCCTATCCCAGTAAGCAAGGCAGGATTCACTCTGGACAAGACACCTGTCCATCACAGGGCACACACAGACATGCACGCGCTCATTCTAGGGCTAAATCTCACAGAAATCTTCGGACTGTAGGAGGAAAGCACAGCACCATGTTCTATGCAAACACTGGGAGAATATTCAAACCCTACACGGATCGAATCCCAGCTCGGGGATTGAAACTAGGACCCCAGTGCTGTGAGGTAGCAGTGCTCACTACTGTTAATTTTCTATATGTATTCACACAATGGCAAAGAAAGGGTCGCTCCTGACTTACATAGGGTTTGGGTTTTGTAAAAACTTGAAGAACCTAACCCTTATGTAACCCTGTTAACGGCTGCATACATATTATCCTGTATAAACAGGTACCTAATCATTTGTGAAGCACATCAGTTGTTCATGTTATTCCTCATTGATGCATCCTGTCTCTCCATTTCTTTGTCTTGTTTCATAGCAGGACCACGAATCTCTCTACGGCAGGAAAGAAATGTCTTCACAAGAGACGAAGGATCTCTCTCTTGTCAAACTTCTGAACATTTCCATTACTCTTTCTCCGTACATGGGTGTGGACACTCGCCCATTCCAGGTGTCTTTACAGGATGGCACTGAGAGCTTCTGGCTCAGTCTTCCCTCTAAGTCACACTCCTATCAGGTAAAGTTTCTTATTGTTACCGTTCTCTTTTTAACTTCCTGGTTATCTCTTCCCGGATGCCAAGAAGACTACCCTGGCCTCTGGCCTAGGTTCTCCCATGACAGAGTGTCTAACAAGGTGTTCTTTTGGTCTTGTGGGTTATAGAACCCAGGTGGACCTAAAACTGTTGATTTAGTGCTGAAATCCAAACACTCATGCCGTCTGGAACTTTGTAATGGTTCCCACTGCAATATTATAAGGGTAGAGCCTGTCTTAATCAGTTTTAAAAATGGACATATACCTGCAACCACCAGCAGAAGAGCCTGAGGTACTCTGTCCTAGGCAATATATTGTGTGATAACTCATTTATCATGTTTTCTGTAAAACAGTGTCATTCGCTGTAGTCTTGGAAACTTAAAACGATTTTGACTCTGCGCTGACTTTCTTCCTCGGCTTCCCTTCTCAGGCTCCCCTCTTAACAAAATGGAAGGGCAAGTTTTCTGTGAAGCTGAACATCACAAACCATGCTGCGGTCAGCTGGTTCGTGGACCGGGTGAGCAGCCTGCAGTCTAAGCTGGGGGTGGAGTACATCACTTTGGAGGGAGGGGAGGGGAACCCCTTTGCAGAACAGGCAATAGCCCCTCCAAAAACCCTGGCGGGTGATGAATACATCGGCCTGTTTGCTGCTGTTGGGGCCCGGATAGGAGACTCTTCAATCGTCACAGCAGGTACAAGGTGCGTGTAGAGAGCGGCATTTTCCAAAGTCTGCAGGAGATTCTTGTGAGGGGTATTAACATTTGGCCCGTGGTCACAAAATGTCTAAAGACATTAGACAAGTCTTTATTTCATCAAAATTCTTAATTTACCCCCAAACTAGCATATCTGCTAGTATTGATGAGGGTGTAAAAAGGATTTTTTTTTGCTCCAAATGTGTATCTAGAAAAGTGGTTAGTACTGTATGTCTTGCTAAATTTTTTATGTTTTTCTTTCCTTTGTTTGTCTTGTTAATTGATAATCTTACATTTGCTATGCATTCCATATTCAAGTCATAAAATACTGAAGAGTTTAAAAAATGGTTCTGCGATATTTGAGGATGGTGCAGCAAATTTAGCAAGATATTAAATTTGATATTGCTGCAATTTCCAGACAGCAGAATTTGCCTTCGCAGTTATCTCCCTGGATAAAACCTATTTAAAATCCTGTATCTTTTTATGTATACTAGTATCTAATGGGAAACAGCCAAAGATACTTTCACCATATGACATATCCTTTAAGATTACCGTAAACTAAATAAGAGAAATAGAATCCTTCCTCTAACATTCAAATACAGTTTACAGGACAGTTCAATCTCCTGAATTTGGAATTAACATTGTAAATCACGTTTATCCAGAATCTACTCGTATAAAGTTGCCCTTTGCAAAATATGTTTCACAGTTTGTCTCCCTGGATAAAAACCTGTTTAAAATCCTTCTTACGTGAAAAACATATTTTTATTTTCCTTGGCTCTGTTGTTGGTACCATTTATCTTTATTTCCTTTCACTAAATCAGAAGCAATAATCTTTGAAAACTCAGATTAATGGGGTAACTTTAGCAGTAATTCCATGTCTGAAGGATATGCAATTCAGGTCTGGTAACTCTAAATTGTCCCCGCAGGGTTTGTCTCTGTGAGGAACATTGCTGGGCTCCCCACCTCATTACTTTTCTATGAGCCTCTCTTCCCTACAACTTATTCAGTAGTTCAGTTAGATCCCTGATGAATGTAACAGAGTGACTAATATATTAGAAGTTATTTGCAAGTACGTTGCTCAGTGGAGAGCCTGACTGTGAGGATAATGTTGACCAATCCCACCCTCAGTTTCGTTAGGAATGAGCCAGGGAGCAGCTAAAAGGGTATAGATGGGGTGGTGAGAGGGTTGTGAAAGAAATGCACGAAGTGAAGTCCAGAAATTGAGATGTATATATACACAGGAGAGTAGAAGTAGACGATAGATAGTAGGGATTAGACTCTACCCTTCTGACCAAAACTTTGTTATAAAACTATAAAATGAAATAACTATTAATACACATTATTAATTAACACAGTTTTTCCCTGCATTGGACTGGCATTCCATCCACGGGGGGGGTGTCACATGCTCTCTTGTCCACTTAAAGTCATAGAAACCAGGATGAACTGTGGCTCAATGGTCATTCTGACACAGGTATGGACTTCACCCGTTTACCATCTGGAAACGTTCCTTCATTTAACTTCACAGTGACCTGGGTTTTTACACTGATTTGATATTTCCAGCTGCTGACTTTTGTAAGGTCTGGGCAGGAAGGAAATAGCTATAAAACAACGCACAGCCTTTAAAAGACACCCCTCAGTAACACTTGTTCCATAATTGCTTCTGTATTTCTTCCCCTGTGGGGCTGGAGTGTAAATAAAGATGAGGGAATCGTTCAAATAAATGACAAAAGTACTTTCTTTTCCTGTCTTAACAGATCAAGCCACTTGCCTCTATTTGTCCAGATGACACCACTGCAGGCCGACTGGAGCTACTCGGGTATAAAGGGGATTATTCCTTCCATTCTGCACTACAGTCTTCTGGGATACAACTTCTTCATTCCTGATGCAGTAGGTAATACTCTAGCTCACATCCCTTGTCCTCTGAGACTTTAGTAGGAAAATAAATCTTGAGGATATCCATAACATGAAACAGTCACATCATCTTAAGCAGCCTGGCAAAAAAAGGTCTTGATTCAGTTTTCTTTACTGACTCTTTTCCAGCCATTCCTTGCATATTCACAACCCAACTCTGCTGCTATCTAAGCAAAGCAGACCAGATCTGCTCCTTTCACAGTCATTGCTCTGTGTAGATTTGGGAGATTTTAAATCCTGAATTTTGCACGGTCAGGTATGAAGAGTGAGGCAGTGTGCATGCTAAATTTTATTACGATAATTAGCTTATTATCTAAGTACGACCTACTTCAATTTGCTTTACTTTTTACCTTAAATCTGGAATCAACAAGAATTTTTTTTTATTATAAAAAGCACCCAATTTGGACTAGACTAGCTGTCCACGTCTCCATCTCAGGAGATAGTCAAGCCCCTCCCACAAGCCCACCTGCAGTATAATACATATTGTAACAGATGAATTAAAACCTTGTCTTTTTTTAAACACAGTGAAGCCACAATAATTTCACAGTGAAGCCACAATAATGCTCTAAAAGTATTTTGTACAAAGTGATAATTATTAAAATTTCACCTGATTTGGGGATTTAGCAGTTTGCTGAAGAAGGTGAGAATTTAGAGCAAAACTTGTTGCAGAATAGATTAAATTTTCAAGGGGAGTACAGATCCCCAGATGAGGAAAATAATTATTAAGCTAACAGGCACAGAAGAGGCTTTTTCTATTAGTATTTTTGGAAAATACTCATGAATATGTATATATTTATATAAAAACGAATACATATTTTTGCCATTATCTTTTGTATAAGCTCACAGTGTATTTTGATATTCAATCATTAATTAGATAAAATCTCTTGATCTTTAGTTTTTAAACACATTATGAGCTTTGCACCTGTAGTAACATACAGTTTTTGATATTTTGACATTTCAGATGCATTTTATTTGTCTGCGTTGGCACAGTTTTAGGAGTTGATTATTTTGTTTTAATGTATAATTAAGGTAAAGTGCACTCAGAAAACTTACAAAAATAGAAATTTTCCCATTCCTATTTCTTTCCCGATATAAATTTTTCTCCTTGCTTTACGTTACATTTATTTTTCTTTATTTAATTTTCAAAACGCAAAAAGTAGTATATGAACTTTTAAGGAACAGAAAGTATGTGAGACGTTTGAAGGGGCTCATGTTGAAGGTAAAATAAATGTTAACATAATACAGTATAAGAAAGATAAGGAATAATCAAGTGACCACTCTGCAGTATCCTGCTGGTCCCTGACTCAGATGTTGTATGGCGGGAGTTCTGCCCAAGGTGGCTGTTTCAGTGTCTGTACTTAGAGGAAGGGGAATTTGGCTGGATTCTTCGACTAGGCTGTCAGAAATCAAAGAACACCAGAGACGATAACTCTTCCAAACACTTACCATTCCAAAACGTATTCAATATTCTATTTCTAAACCATTTATGTTTGTTTAATTAAAATGTTTCATGAAAAAATGTTGTGAAAAGAAAGTTCAGGCAACGAGATATGTCCCTGCTGGTCAAAACCTGTATTAATTTTCCGAAACCCAGTAAGTATCATGCCCTCCCAAACAGAACACAGAGCCTCTCAACATTTAAACACAATTGGACGCAGGTGCTCAAAAGTCATGTGCCAAGTCTACAGAATCTATGGTAATAATTCAATTTCTCCATGAATATTGTTCGTGTAATTTCAAACTGACGTTACCTCCCTTTTCCTGTTTGAATAAACTGTTGCTCTTAGGATAACATTTTAAGGTTTTTGGACACATTCTGTCAGAGAGAGAAAAAAAAAAACAACATAATATCACAGAAGCCCAGACCTGTAGTCCATCTCTACGTGTTCTCTCTGTTCCAGGAGGATCTCTGTCCAACGAGTTTGTAACAGACGAAGAACTCTATATCCGCTGGTTGGAGATAGCCGCCTTCCTTCCTGTTATCTCCTTTCACACCCCACCCTGGGTCTGCGGAGAAGACAGGGTATGTGCCTCACATATCACTATCCTCCTCACTACCTCCTCTTATTATAAAAAGAGTATCCACTGACCTCTACGTTTTTTTGTATGAGTTCATCTTCCCTGGATCTATAAAAAAAACACATTAGATGTTGCAGCTCTGTTTTTGATCATTCCCCAGCATGTGAAAGTGTTGTTGTGGCCTGAGGTGGGCTGGCGTCCCATCCAGATTGTACCCCGCCCTGCGCCCATTGCTCGCTGGGGTAGGCTTTAGCGCCGCCATGGCCCTGAATTCAGTGAAGTGGTTAGAAAATGGATAGCAGTGGAAGTCATCCACTCCCAGTAGATACAGATACAGTAGATACAGTCCTTTTCTCCTTCACTTTGTTCTCACTTTGTTCCTTTGTTCAGAAATGAAGGAGGTGATTTAGGATACATTTCCGTGAATTAGCATTAGCATTCACAGCTATTTAGCAGTTAGTGTACATTTTTTGTATTACAAAATACAATACAAAAACTGTATTTCCACACCATGCTAGTATTGATAGCAGTAATAGATGTGAGCTCCAGAGTGATAAAAGCATGCCAGCATTTCCCCATCTAAACCGTATAACCATGTGGATAATGGAAAAGATGAATTTCATACCAACAGTAACGGTATTAGATTGGTAGCCATAGTAACAACCATATGCCCCACAACAATAAGATTCTGTTTCTTTTACCAATGATTTTCCTGAGCTGAATTTTCACATTTGAAATTTATTTGGATTCAAATCTCTTTTTACTGCATTGAATGCATTTCTCTCTTCTTGATACTTTTTTTTGTGGGAGAAATCCTTTATATGTTTTTATAAGCAGTGATCTACCGCGTTTAGTCTACCCTTTAGTCTTATCAGCTGTTAGACAATTCCACTAAGCTGTGTGTTAACCACACTGTTTTACTGAAATGAATATCTCATGTGGCTATTGTTTGTGGAAGAGTGCACCTGATGCCCACTAATAGAGTGAACATTCAGAATAGCAGTGTCACACACAAGGCCATAACTATACTTTTAAGATTCTACCTTTTCTGGCTTTTTATATACATACACATTGAGTGAAGATATACAAAAAGTTAAGATATTTTGTTCTCCACATACAGTAATTGTAATACAAACAGAGACCTGGAAAAAAACAGTAAGTTCAGCACAGTTTGTGTCATTGGAAGGAATGAATGCTTAAAAACACTGAGCCCTACATTGACATTTAAAGTTAAACTTGCAAGTTTACATTTACCTGCAGGTCTCATTCCTTCTTGATATGGTGACTGGTGTTTGTTGTGTATTTTCTCTTTTGAAACAATTAGTTTTCTCTTTGGAACAACTAATGTTTTGTCTGTGTGGGTTACGATAGTAAGTTGTTTTTACATCAAGGTTAAAGATGGTCTTGTGAGTTGTAACAAAACTGTCTCCCTTTTTGCTTGCTTGTGTAACTGGAATATGATCTTTGTTTGTACTGGAAAGAATTATAAGTGCAAAATGAAAAAAAAATGCTCAGGAGCCAGAGTTAGAAAAATATATATCTATTTTAAGATATTGATATGTTTAAATTCGTGGAAGACAGCTCAGGTTTCTGAGTAAAGGATCTTCTGGGGGTGCACTTTTTCCAGCCCGTTCTCAAGTAATTGCTTGGCCTTCACCCAACATCACCTGTGGTTAAGCTACCATCTGTTTTGCATTAGGTTTTGTTTTAAATTTATGATCGTCAATCGCAGGAATAATGAGAGGCACTCTAGCAGGAATGATAATGAATTTGAGGATAGGCTTGGAAAAAGACTTTATTATGACAATTAAGGTTTCCATTTTTAAACTGACAGAAGAGTGGCAGGGTGAAAAGACTAACCTTTTTCCAGTTCAGCTTGTAAGCCCTGGCCTTCTGACCCAGATTTTTGCTACAAGCAAAATAAATAGATGATGTGCTGTGTATGTTAGCACTATGAAATATTGTTCTTTTGTTCCGAGAGACTTTGGTGCTATTGTTATGTTTCAGAGCTCTTATCAGTAGTCATAACTTGGGGCTGTCAAGAGTCCTAAGGGTTGAACTAGCATGGATTAACGTTTTAACTTGGCTGAATTATAAAATAAATGCAAGCATGAACTGGTTCTTATAAGGTGAGCCATATGGAAATTAAATATCAAGAATCTTATTTTGAGTTTCTTCCCGAAGACGTTTTTCAATTGGAAGTGTCCAGCTGGTGTCCAGCTGCAGTGTCCAGCTGGTGCGGTGCCGGCTCTGGATTTTATCCTCCCCCGACACGCCTCCACCCGTGGCCTCTAAAGCGTGTCACACCCCTCTTTGTCCCCAGGACCATCATTTTAGGTGATATTTCTGTTTCTTTCGGGGAGTTCCACGCGGTATCCGTCCTCATTCTCTTAGCTGTGGTGCAACTCGCTGTCGGTTCCTGTTGAGCTTCCACACCAGTGCAGGTGACATCAGGCTACTTTTACCGGGTCACAGTGCCTTCCTCTGCCCACCACAGGATTCCCATCTCCACCAGCTGGTGGCGCTGCCGCCACCTGCGCGCTGAAAAGCGTTCCAGTGTCTGGATTATATGCCGTTCTCATTCAGTACAAGAGACAACGCACATCTGTGTTCCTCCAACTCAATCACGCTATCAGACTCAAGCACACAAAGCTCCTGCACCAATATCTCTGTCATAGCAGGATTCTGCATTGGTGGGTAGGTGTTCCTTAAATCCTCTTTGGTTGTTTCAGTAGATCTGACCTACGGCCGGGTCCGTCATTTGCTCAGCCAGGCATGCTAACGCCAAACTCTAAAATATTAAGGACAGTATCTGTTTATATTCGCTTTGTCATCTAGTGGTTATTTGTCCAAATTCTGTTGTTGAGTTAATTAGACATTCATAAAGCTGGGAACACTTGAGAATGTTGACTTCAGGTTTTGGAGTAGTTGAAAGTCAAAATGAAAACCCAAATACTTTCTGTAAGAGTAGACTATTTTGAGCTTAAACAAAAGGAAATCAAAATCAGAACCATGGCACAGAAATTGGTGATACAAATAGAATGGACAGATATTTGATAAGCTTCACAGTCCAAGATAACCCTTTACCAAAGTGATAGAAATGTTAAAGTTGGAAGAAACAGAGGAACTGCAGATCTACCAATAAACACCACCTCATCTGTAAAGCCTGGCGGAGATAATGTTTTGGTCTGGCCATGCGTGGCCACCTCTGAACTGGTTCCCTTACCATTATTCATGATATAATTAATGATGACATCAGTAGTATTAATTCTGAAGTGTACAGAAACATTTTGTCTGCTTATATACATGAAAACGCCTCCAGACTTATTGGGTGGCACTTCATACATAATAAGACATGATCCAAAACATGACCAATGCAAAAAAATGAATTCATCAGGAAAAAAAATAACAAATCTTAGACTGGCCATATTAATCCTTAGAATTCAATTGAGAAGCACTTCAACAATAGGTAAGAACTATGGTATTGGCAATAGCTTGGTAAACCATTATTTCAGATGATTATATAAAGAGTTTAGTTAGCTCAATGGGTCTCTGTTTCATGCAGTGATTGTGTGCCAACACTTACGGTCACCTGAAATCACAAAGTATGTTTTTGTTAAAATACGATCAAACATATGCATGAAATTACCTAAATATAAAACTTATTATATTTTACTTATCATTTGTATTAATCTCATTATCATAAATACAAATTTGCTTGACTGTAAGGCAAAATTAAGTTTGGATTTTGCTGTTCTAATACTTCAGAGAACACCGTATGTATGAAAATCCCAATAGTGTTTAAATCAAATGTAATTTGACAGTTAGTTTTTTTTGTACAATTAAAAAAATCCTTATTTTATATTTTTAGGTGAAAATCAACAGTATATATTTGAAGTAAAAAGTGGCACAATAAATACAAAAGACTCAATATTCACAATTGTAAAAGGTGGTTGGCATGCGTCAACACAAACACAGTGGAAAGGTATGCCTGTTTTACATCAGCAAACACACAAATTAGGTCTATTACAAATGATAGACACTGTTTTCCTTGTGGTAGCAGTGCAGTGAACCTCTTTTCAACGGGATTACACAAGTACAGGGCTTACCCAGGCTGCTGGGCTCCTGTTTCTATTTCCAGGGTCAGGGCTACCTCAGGTATGCCTGGAACTGACATGCCCACAGAGCTGCTAAATATAAGCCGCGGATCATGTGTTGGAGGTGTCTTACCCTCCCGGCTCTGTTTTCCAACCTGTTTAAGGGCCACATAAACAAAGCATGTGTTGGTTGCAGACCAGTCCTGTCGCCAGGACTTCCTGGTGTGAGGCACACAAATCCCACACATTTGCTGGGAGTCAGCAGGTTTGGACAGATGCACACAAACAAAGATAACTTAAGACGGAGACCTCGGCTTAGTGGCCTGCCCCCTCTCCCCCTCAACAGTTTTAACAGATCCCCGATGTTTTTGTTTTTTTATTTCAAGATGAGAAAGCATTGAAGTTTCAAATCTGAAATTCACTTTGAGGGCATTTTATTTAATGTACTTTCTGAGGTCATTATGTCTGTGAACAGGAGCTGCCTGTAGTTCACTCGCCCGGGGCCCTGTATTTTTATACAGTGTTTCATCAATTATATTCTACTTTCTGATGCACATTAAAATAAAGGTAGCCATACTGCAGAAAATAAATATTCTACATTTGTACAGTAGGTTATTAGGTAATAACAAAATGACTTTGTCATTTAAATTTTGTTCTAGGTGCTCATATTAGACCTTAAAAATGAGTGTCAGTAGTCTCTGCTTGTTTAACTTTTGGTTAAGCACCAGACTTTTGGAAATGAAGTGAACAATGAAATATTTCTGTTACCTACAGATCACTTCATGTGGAAGTTTTCAGTTGGAGGCAGACTGCTCTATGCTAAGGGGCAGGCTAGGCAGGTGGCAGTGTCAGACGACGGTGGGCCATTCACGTTCACAGATCTGTGCCTTTGCAGCCAAGTCGTCTCTGACACTGTTTGGTCTTTGTCTTCACTGGAACTGCTTCTCTGCCAAACTGAACAGAATATCTTCTTCTCCTTCTCAGCCTGAAAATGCACTTCAAATGAAATCCCAAACCCACTTCTTTCAGAGGAATGTACAGTGTCTTAATCTTCCCTTAGCATTTTTGTTTTAAATAACTTATTACAAGTTGGAGGTGTGGTCTGGGGTTAGTGTGCATTTTGTAGCGGATATTGAAAATGACTAGCAGATTAAGTAAATCCAACTTCGATTTTTTTTTCTTGTTCTAATTCCATCCCCCAAAATTTACTCCCTGCACTTTCACACGTCCAAAATAAGCCACTGAGATCCCAGAAATTCCACCAGGATCCTGTTTCCTGAGGTAAATCATTCTGCTTTCCATGTCTCCTGGAGCAATCTAAGATTTGGTATCAGTTTTTAAATACATCCATTTTTTCTTGGATTACAGGTCCTCAATCTCACCCGATCGTATATATCCAGACACCAGGAGTTCGTCATCCCTCTCGTAATTAAGTACGCAGAGGAGTGGCTGGCTGAAGGGACTCCTATATTCCGACCCCTCTGGTGGATCAGTCCCGATGACCTTCTCACCTTCACCATCGACAACGAGTTCCTAATAGGTGATGAGGTAAGACACTCCTTTGATGCTTCACATTCAACAATTGTGAGATTCTCTTTTCCAATGTTTAAATTAGATCTGCATCATGTATATTCATTCTTAGGCGTGTGTAGAAAATCCAGCCATGGCAAAGGTTATAACTAGCTGATTTATTTGGCTCACGCTGTTATCCAGAGTGATTTACCTGTGCCTCCACTCATACAGCAGGGTCATTTACTGGAACAGTTCAGGTGACCTCTGAAGGGCTCGTCTGCAGGGTCTCATCTGAGATTTGAACCTAAAACCTTCCAGTTATGAGTGCTGGCCATCAATTAACAAGTCCCAGCTCATCGTCTGCTGATCATCTGTACTAAACTCCAGGTCATCCACAGGCCAGCTCCCAAAGTTCAATGAAACAAAACGCTCCAGCATGGGTTTTTTAATAAAGAAAAAATGACATATGAAAGGTTGTTTTATAAAATGCAGTGCACAGACATAACAATAACTTCAGTGGGCTTTTGGAAAATAAGATCATGGCTGGAGAGCTGTCTGAGAAACCCAAACACCATTTTGATCCCAGTTTTGGAAAAGCTTGTAAACCCCAAAGCTAGCAGAGAGCTCTTATTTCTAGGTCTCAGCTGTAACTGGTATTTAGATGATGAGCTTTTTAAGGAACAAAGTTCAGAATGAATAGAATGAATCACAAACTCTTTAGCTGCTTCAGTTTCAAGGTTGGGATGATTGGTACACCAGTGTGCCCCGAGCTGGTCACATTAAGATTTTAACTTTTTTTCATAACTGCAGTGTAGTTAAAACACCAATAAAAGAGATACATGCTTTGAGTGTACTGCAAGATTTCTCAAAGGCCGACAAAGCATGCCAGTGCACAATTTAACGACGCTTCCCTCTTGGCATGCTTTTCAAACCCCTTATTTACTACGCCAGTTAAAGGAGAGATGCAGAAATAAACACAGTCAGCTTTTAAGGAGGCCCATAGCCACTGCTGAGTCATGTGTAATTTTGTTTTCACACATTGTCACAGCAAGTGCATGAATTCCCACCTATTCTGTTCTGCTCTACTATGCCCATCCTTCTCCATTTCTGTCTAAATTTGAACTCTGGTGCCATGTATGCTTGCTTCCTGTTGTAGTTACACAGAGGGACTTGGATAGCTTTTTTCTAAATGGGAAAGCTGCTGCATACAGTATTTAAACTAAAAGTGTGTAGAAAGAGGTGTGGATTACAGCTACATATATCAGTAAGGTGGCTGACATTTTGCTAATCAAAAGCAAGTGGTGCAAGAGTGAGAGAGTGAGAAGTGAAATATTTTAACTTGGAGCTTCTAAATCAAAATGGAAAACTGCTTGTGTTTTCTTTAGCGTCTTATGTGGCTACAGTATGTGCTGTTAAACACACCAAACCGAGTTTCAGCTGGCTGAGTGTTGCCTGGAACTGGTTGAGATGAGGGCGGGCTGACCAGAGGACATCTGGGTGTTTCACATGACCCCTCTCATAGTGTGGAGAGTGTATAGCTAGCTGCAAGAGGCTCCAAGTGAAACCTGAGTTGCACCATTTCTGTTCCAGAATCCCAGTGTGCAAAAAGGCAAACTTGAGAGTGTATTTCAGAGGACACTGGTTCTTCTGGGTCAGTATGAAGTGATATCTACTTCTCAATTCCAAGTGGGTTTTTTGAAAAAGATCATACTAATTGGTAATTCTAAGTAGAAAAAAATAATTTATTTCAATAGTTAAATCTATACAGGACAAGCCATTCAGGACATTTTGCTTATATTGGTTGCTAATGGCTAATTAATATCAGTACCTCAACCAGCAACATAATGAACATTAAAATCACAGCTGGGCAGCAGTTGAGCAAATATGCCCAACTTTCTATTTAAATAGGTGCCTCGTATTTTCTCTCCACTTCTTAATTTATTTGTTGAGCTTGAAGTAGTTGCCTATGATGACTATATGTAACTCTTTTGGGATTTTGAATTCTTGAAACATCTTCCTGATCCTGTAACAGTCCGTGTTGTTCAAGACTAAAGAGATATTGTTACTTCAGCATGCTTGTGTGTGATAACCCTTTGAGACCATCATGCTGTAGCAATGAAATCTGATGCCTTCTAAGTATTATCTAATGGGTGTCATCCCAACATTACCCTGTGATGAATGCTTCAATTAGCCTTTGCTTTTCTCTAACTTGTGCAATGTAAGCTACAGATTTTTCCACCATTAATTTTGACATGAATCACTAACACTATTTCTAGACTGACCAGCTGTGTTTTCTACAAGATCTGTCCATCTAAGATCCAGCACAGTCATCCCCCACTGGCTGCCACTGCAGCTTTTTTCCAGGGGAAAAAAAACCCACATAAAAAGAGTTTTTAAATTCTGCCTCAACTAATCTTGTGAACATGTGATATGACCAAAAAGCCTAAAATGCTCTTCTATAGCAAAAACAAAAGTTCTCCAATTTCTCTGAGAAAGGAACTAAGGACTCAAGATTTAAATGTAAGTTTCTTCTTTCAGTCCAAGTCAGATTCTGTTAGTGGAGTGCTCTTCATACTGTGAAAACGTACCTGATAAATCACTGCTGATGTGGTTTTGATTTTAATGTTGTTTACTCTGGGGTGTTTTCAGGTCCTTGTCGCACCTGTGACAGAGAGAGGCGCTGTTCACAGAGACATTTACCTGCCTGGCAGTGATTTCCAATGGCAGGATATGAGCAACGCCCAAGTGTTTGATGGCGGGACGCTGTTAAAAAGTTACCCTGTCAATCTAGAAGAAGTGGCTGTTTTCTTACGAAGAATTTCTTAAAAACCTGTTAAGTTTTTTTCCCCACTCAGGCTATTCAGATTTGCACTTGTTTCAGAGACCATTGACACAGTGTCATCAGACAATCGTGAGACAAGTCACAGCCTTTTTATATAGCTGTATAGATATGTATTTGCACTTTACAATGACGTGATTTCTATACTCAAATTCATGTTTTTTATATCCTTTGATTCATATCATGACAGTACATTTTGGGGATTTTTATTGGTTAGTTCTTCTTGGGTTTTTTTGTCCTCCGAGCAAGCTGTGCATTTACATTGATCATACTTCTACAGTCCTTAACATCTACTGTAACTGCCTTCCCCCCCCTGACGACAACACAAGTTAACCCTTCCTGAAAAAGAAGTCAATAAATAATAAAGAAGACCAAATGAGAGCAACGGTAAAGATCTTCAGTCATCGCAGTCAGGAAGACCCCTGTGAATGCAGTCGTGTAAGATGGTTAAGCTTGAACAGCGTTTTAAGTCAGGTGCATTAAAGGTAAGGATTTTACTTGAATTAAACTGACTCCAGTGCAGTTACTGTGCCCACATTTTTAATGTACCTCAGTGTAGGTATTCCATACTTTATACCTTACACAGACGTCTCTTTTAATGAATACTTAATACTACATGAGCATACCTAATAAGCATTGTAAGCATTTATCTTAAAAAATAGGGAATTTAAACTGTTCGAATTGGGTACAATGTGTTGCAAAAGACTTGCATGGGTTTTGAGCCAGGCTGCTCAAATCCAAGATATTTACAAGTGTGCTATGGAAGCCTTCATCCAGACTCAAAGCTCTCCAGGCTGATGGCTCAACCCCTCTTCTAGCTGCTTCACTCTACAGGTGGCCTGGAATATGCCTGTTTTTCACAAAGAACGCCATCCTTCAGAGAGGAATGAACCTGTTGAACTTTGGGCATATTGCTGTGAAACTGGACATTGAAAAAAGCTACAAAATCAACAGCTTGGATTCATTGTCCCTATGGAAATGTATAACATGTTTTACTCTTTCGACACTGGGATGTCAAGTGGCCAGTCCTCTGTGTTTGCCTGAGAAACAGGAGACTTTCCGTTGGTCGATGCATACTGTGTATGATGCGGCTTCCCAGTTCACAATGAGCACCGTCTTCAAAGAGGTCGTGAATCTTTCTTCATGGCTCACTGAATACTCTCAGAAGTGCACTTAGGGAGGTAAAACGTAACTGCTTTGGAAACATGAGACTCTTTCTTTCTCTGTGGTGTCCATATCCAAAAAAAAACTTTGCAAGAGTCTTCAAAAGTGTGACTATCAGTATGTAATATTGTAATCTTCTACAGTCATGGCCAAACGTTTAATATCACCCTCATAAAAATAAATGTTAAATAGTTATTTAACAAAGGATTTTACTTAAAGTTAATTACAAACTCAAAAGTACACCAACAGCTGCCACTGCAATATCATTGGCAATCCGATCTACAGTATGTTTTTATGTCCCATCTGAAGGAGGAATACAAACAGGGTAAATAAATTGCTCTTGGTGATATAATTCCTTACACTTACAGTATATAGCGCTTTTCTGGACACTCCACTCAAAGGGCTTTACTGGTAATGGGGAATCCCACTACCAACACCAATGTGCAGCACCCACTTTGATGATGCGACGGCAGCTATAGTGCACACAGTTTGCTTCCCACACATCAGCTATCAGTGGGGAGGAGAGCAGAGTGATGAAGCCAATAAAGTGGGTTTGTGGCAGAAGAAGGGCTTGATCTGGGGGAAATGTCTAACATGTATCCCATCATAACTTTTATATTGTTAGGGGATTCTAAAACGTGGCCACAATTGTAGATTGTAGAGTGTGGAGATTGGTGGAGGTGGGAGGGGCAGCTATTATTATGTGAATTTCACCTTAAACATCTGTGGCCTCTGAACACCAGTGCTGTAGCAAAAAACTAAGCATGTGCACTCTACACTGGTCTTGCTTAAATCAGTAGCATCATGAATCCTTGAGCAGTTTCATCCTGCAGGTTAAGCAGGATCTGACAGATGTGTTCAGTCGGGACTTCTGTAGATCATTTGGAAAGTAATTTTAACAGCCTCTTGCACTCATAGACCACAGATGGATCCTTTTTCATTGAATGTGGTTGTGAACCCAGAAATGGATGATTTAGGGTGACATTGGAAACTTGTAATATTGGTTGAATCCATGCAATTCCCCTTGGCTTCTATTTTACAATTTAAACTTTAAATTCACCTTTGAAAAATTGTTGTTGAAGAGGTAAAATTAGTAAGAGCTTTTCTGCATTTCAAAATTGAGTTTTTGTATGATAAACAGTATATTCAGTAATATACTGTGTATATATCTATAACAATACTACTGAGATGATAAGATAATTCATCCATTCAAAAAAGCTTTTTCACCTTTGCCAGGTCAATTTATCAGTGGAAAACATGCCCTTAGTGGCTGATAATGTTCTGATGAACATGAAAACACCAGACAGCTCCTTCTCAGGGAAGAGGAAAGACTGAGCCAGATGAAAGTGGCCAGCAGTCTCCACTCTGACCACACCATTGTACTCTGAGCTTCAGATGAGTTCATTTGTGTACAGTTGTGTATCAGGAGGAAAGAGATTAAGTTGATCCTGTGATGTGCCTTTGGGGATTTTTCTTCCTAAAAGCTATTAAGGAAGAAAACTGTGTAATTAGAGGGAATGCCATGAAATCACATTCAACCCATGAAAATGTGCTATTAAAATGCCAGAAGCGTTAAACTACCTTACAGCATAATAATTGATTGTGTTTTTTATGTTGTACTGTTGTATAATATTTTTTTTGGCATGAACTGGATATGTTTTGGTAATGACAGGCTGAGAAATTAATGAAATCCCAACATGTGTCTCTGACTGCAGCAGTAAATGTAGTTACAACGGGTCATACCAGGTTATCACATTTAGTTTTAAACATGAAATTGTACAATGCCGAAAAGATTATAGTCATTAAAGCCTGATTTATCAGCCTCTTTTTTCACAACGATGATTACACTGACTCAATATTTTTTAAGTGAAGGTATTCACCATAAAACACCTAACATCCTGTTTCATTATTCATATAAATAAACAACAGTTTAAATAAGCCTTCCAGATGTTAACAGAATATTGTAAAACAACTGATTGTGTTTCCTGGTAAGCAAGCATTATGATCAAATATTTTTTTCTGCTGCCTTATGTTAAAAAAATAAAACACTTTTCTTAGTTGTTTTCTAATAGGAGTAGTAAGCATGCAGAAAACTAAGAAAACTTTTTTTTAACAAAAGCAAGGCAGCATGTGTTTTTGTATAAAGTTAGATAAATGCAACTCATTGTTTGCTATCTGGGACCTCAACACGCATTTCTTAATCTTTATTTTGCATTTCTTTGAAGGAAAACTCAGGTCTACTTATGTCTTAGTACAATATAATGTTGTGTATACTGTAATGTCTTAAAGCTCTTTTTACAAGATACAGTTTCAATTCAAAATGTGTTTTAGCCACTAAATACCAACAAATTACGAACAGATTTTTTTTCTTTTTTTTTTTAACCGCTGATAGGACCTAAGTCAACATCAGGTCATGTTTACTGAAATTATTCATTTGTAGTGCTATGAAAAAGGATATTATTAATATGAAAGATTACATTTCTATGTGCCATGAATTTATACTTATTAAAATGGTAAATAATATATATATTTAAAATGAAGTTATGTGATAAACATTGCTTCTTTTTTTTTTTACTTCTTCATAATGCTTAATATGAGTGTCTGAAGTGGCTTCTGAAAAAGTATGACAGAAGATCAAATTGCAGTTTATGTATGGGAATGTTCAAGATTAAATACTTCTATTATTCATATTGTCCACCCTTCATAAGAGAAATCCTCATCTGTATTGATAAGCATGCTTTGTGCCACGGGGAGTTAAAAGGTATACAATGTACACCCACGCTCATCCTCCACCTGTCCATTTAGGCCTGTCAATGTGTATCGGTTACAGTGCTGGTGAGTAAGACCATCACTAATTCCAGTTAAACCCATTAAAAGTTATTTATAGCAGTTGTGGTAGACATGTGAAGAAGTTCATATGGGCAATGCTCTCACTCTGCCCTACCAGTTTAACAAGACTACTTCATGTGGTATTAAAGAGTACCCTGTTCATCCAATGAGAAATCATGAGTTAACAAGCTGATGGGACTTGAATGTATGTGGCTTGAAATCAAACTTTCTTATAAATAGGTATTTTTTAGGCTAAAACAAACTAAAAGGCATAAAACCATCCCATAGTGTGTTCATACCCCATGGTACAAATGTGCATACTGAATGTAAAGCACTAGAAACCTTTTGTAAGGAATGCCATTTTGAGAGCGCATAGCTCCATTTTTAAGCACAATTCTTTTGAATATATAAATTAAATGTTTCCCATTAAAAGCTTCTGTGTTTTAAGAATGTTTTGTTTTTACAGAGCTCTTCTGTATCTGAATATATTTGTCCTAACAAGATTTGAAAGGTATAATCTTCAAAATAATGATGCAGTGAATATGCTTTCTGTGTAAAAGAAAACAGACAATATTGTTTCAAGAAATGAAAGAAAACAGATTTTGCTAAAGAATGAATTGAAACTGAGTCTTGATTTTGCCCCAGCTGCTGTTGAAGGTATATTAGTAATGTCACAGTGACGAAAGAGTATTATGTTATTAGGTTTGTTTATCTGTGCCAGTGGTAGCACAATCATTTTTTTTCTGTATGTGATAATTTAAAAATCAAAATGTTTTACTTAAATTAATGCTGTGATCGTATGCATGAACATAGCCTGTAATCCAAAAAATGATGTATAATTTTAATTTGTGAAGTGAAGGTAATTAAGTGAAGGTAACCTCATGAAAAATATAGGCAGGCTTATCATTTGTCTAACTTGCCTATATGGCAGGTATCTGGATATTTGTATGTGTATATTTTATAGTAATCATTAATTACTTAAAATTCTTATATAAATATTATTATATTTTTTGTTTAAAAAACTAATGACAATAAATTTTATGATATAGAAATATCTTCTGTGAGTGTGTTACAATTTTTAAAAACATTCCAGTCCTATTTTGTCAAAATATAATTGTATATCATTGGTAGTATTTGCAATGCAGAAGTATAATGTTAGCCAATTGATTGTTTTACAGTAGAACTAACCATTAATAGGCAAATATAGATAATTGTAAAGACTTCATAAAACTAAACATTCTTGCAAATATAAGTCAATATGGTACAAAATATTGAGACAATAAAATATTGAATTTTCACTATATCCTGGTGTAAATGATGGCCAAAAGGTGTACTTCACGAGACAGATATGCCCATTATCTATTAAATGTCAAATAATTTCCCCTTTAAAATAGGGGTTCCCATCTCTAGACTTCAGAATCCTGAAAATGTTAATGTGTCTTTAGACTGTGAACAGTTTAAGGCTGAGGAGATTAAATAAACTGGAGTAGCTGAAACTTGAACTTGATCAATTTAGCATTTCTCCCAGGTGAAGAACTATTCATACCCTGTGGAGACACTGCAAACCTGCTGAACTGTGGACACCAGGACCAGAGCTGGGAAGCCCTGCTTTGAGAAACTTAAGGCATGACGAAAAACGCCAACAATATCACTGTGCACACGGCAGCACGGCAGTGCCATCAGTGACAAACTGCAGGCACAGTGAAACCTACAGCTGGCTACTTTTAGAAAGTGCAAGTCAAGGTTTAAGGTTTCAGTGTCTGGTGGAGCATTTCCAGCTTGGTAATTAGAAATGCAATTTAAAGAACATCGTATCAGGCAGCTTTCTATTGAATCCCCACACAGAAACTTATTACACCAAAGGGCTGGAAAAAGTGGGTAAGAGAATGTCCCAAAATTTAGAGAAATATCCTTTTTTTTTTTGCTTTCTTTAAATATTAACACTAACATGAAACCACAATTGTATTTATGTTTTTCATGTGGTTTAACATTGATGAGTTTAGTAAGGTCATATATAGAACTGTTCACCTTGCTGGCCTTCCAAACCATTGCAACCTTCCACAGCCTGAAGAATTCTGGTAGGTTAATTGGCTTCTGGGATAACTGGCTGTGGTGTGAGTTAAACTTGTGTGAAACAGATCTAAACAAGGCTACTCATCTGATACGGTGCTCTCACCAAACTCATCGCTTGGTCCCATTCTTTTCACTCGATGTAGTGAGTCTGCCTGAACAAACTGGGGCCTGTTTCATGCTTGGAATTTTATTTTTATTTTCACTTTTATGTCTTTCCTGCACTAGACCACTTATTTGCCTGTTCAGCCAGGTGCTGGAGATGTGTCACAGTGAATGGAAATAATTAGGCACAGAACTATTTACTTTCCTCAGTTATTTCTGCTGTTGTACCCTGAAGTGTCAACACAGGTGTTTCATCCTCATGAAATCTACTGTGCCTCTCCCCAGTGGGGGCCAAAGGCCCGTTTGGCATACTAATACTTTTCATCTAACGCTTGAAATGCGGCATTGCCGATCCCCCCAGACTCTCCCACAGACGTGGGTGCTGGCCTCTTGTGAATGGGAGTCAGCACACGGACAGCTGCAGGGCACTGTTCCGCAGAGAGGCCGCTAAGGGTTAAAAAGCAGGCCGCCCATGAATCTCGCATGCGAACCAGGCAAGTGTCCTGTAACGTAAGCCGCGAGACGGAAGCGAGGTTTCGATGGGTGGTGTTGGCCTATACGTGCTTCCTGCTTCCCCTCCTCCCATCCCTCACACTGACAGGTTTATATGTCTCCTTTTAATTTGGAGATTTAAATGTAGAATACTATTCGAATGCATGCGATTCCAGGTTTATTTATAAGCCTAAAAATGGAACTCTCTCAGGACTTCCATTTAAGCCCATGCAATCGGTCACAAGACGGTTCCTCAGGGGAACCGCTGCGGAGAGAGACGGGGTGAAAGTTAAGGCCCGTCGGCCGGACTTGGCAATTTGGATCCTGCATTGACGATTCTTGCATTAACATCTGAAAAGCGAAATGTTTTTAAATGTATATTTTCATTCCAATTGGCTTTCACCCTGACTTTTGTCTTTTTAGTAAGATAGTACGGTGATAAAAGAAACAGCTTTATTGATCATATATAAGAATTAGTATTGTTTCGCCAAGACACTGCACACGGCTACAGCCATCAAGAGCAGGCTGATGATTTAATGTATTTCATCATAGTCACAGAACTTCCCTACACAAGTGTGGATTGGTGCAACTGGAACACTAAATACAAAGTGTCTTCTTTGCCCAAGTAATGTCGACGCACGGGATTTCTGAAATACATATTAAGAGGTCCAGGTGTTTTTAATTGTCCAGTAAGACACTATGGTCTTGGTCGCCATTTTCCCCAGATCTGGATCCCACTGTCTTCTTTGAGTAACAGGACCAAACTGGTTAGGGGAAATCAATCTGCAGATTAATATAATATAATTGCTTTTTGGGATATGAAGTGTACAGAATTTTTCTTTCACAGCTCTTAAAAAGGTGAGTGAGATTTGTAATTGGTATGACCTCTGATAATTAGTGAGTTAATTGTTCACTGACTGCTTTCATCCAGGCGTGCTCCCGGAAGTGCAACCAAGTAGGCTTACACCGAACTGACTTACAGTACTGTGGCAGAGTTATTCCTGCAGGGTCATTCCTGCCTGTCTGTTCAGAAATTTCTAATTATAAATATTATTATAATTATAAAGCTGAGGAGAGACTGCATCACGATCTGTGTGTTGACATTCTTGGAAATAACGCACTTATTTGAAAGCCTATACAAACGGGTCATTCATCAATGGTGTTTAAGCACCCATTGGAAACAAAAAATATCAGACACGGTTACTCTATTGCCATGGCTAAGAACCACTGCTTTAAGCAGTAGAATGTAAGGCACAGAGGGTGGACAAGGGGTCCCTCTTGTGGTGATCGGGGGAAATTATTTTTTGCAGACCGTTTTTACTCTGTTACGCACACTGGAAGGAAAAGTACATTCCCTATGTTAAACAAATCCAAACTAAATATTGGCCTGTTAAATGCTAGTTGTGTTCATGTTTCACTTTATAACCTGAGCATGCTGTTTTCTCAGTGGTCTCATCGTGGTCTCTGAGCCCTTCTCCGACAGAAGAGGTCGGTCCTCCATCATTTCAGTCGAGAACTATGCGACTGTCAGCAACTCTATTTTTTTATATCTCCTTGACCAAGCTAAAGAGCCCTGGGAGCAAAATGTTGTGGTGAGTAGATGTCTTTCAACCAGCATATTTATCAGTGACCAACTGACAATTCCATTTAGATGGATTTATGAAAATTAAAATATCCAAATTAAAATGACTGTAGCATGGTTTTGAATTCATATAAATCAATACTAGAAAAAAACAATTGAGTTTTGGCAATCTTTATTGTCCTGGGAAATCTTACTTTTGGTTTTTGAGTTCTTGTACATAAGTTGTGAAATAGTCAGCTTGTGTAATTGTACAATCTCAGCATTAAATCCATGCAACAAGCACTATAGCCATACAAATGTGAAATCAGCAATAATATTCATGAATAACAACAAAAGGATGGAATAGCCTTTAACTGAAAATTCAAGTACGTTTTTCTTTTTAATGATAAAATACATACAATATTAAATCTGCTGTTAATGTTGAACTGCTTCACACTTCCAATCAAAAACAATGTGTCCTGAACCAATAACATTTAGCCAGACTTGCAAAGTTTCTCTTTATTCAAAGGGTTATCAGAACCATTGAAAAAAAAATGCAACTGTATTTAGTAAAAAAAATGCATGCATGTTTGTTACTGTATTTGTACATAATTTTAGTTCTGTTCATACTTTGTGTTTTGTCAAGTGTAACAAAATGATTCTAATAACACTTACCATTAAAAAAAGAAACAAATACAACAACAAAAGACACAAGCCTTACCATCATTTTCTGTTATCCACTTAAGTCTTCCCAACAAACAACAAGTGTAAAGCACTTCATTTTTTTAAAGATCAATATCAAAAGATGATAACTGTCCTAGTATAGAGGCTCTTAGGAGTCCAGAGAATGCAGGCTTCAGTCTGAGAAGACCTATAATTCCCATTATTTAATATCATCTGTTAATATTGCTTCAGCAAACAATAATGATGTACATCAACTCACCAATCCATTACAGAACAGATAGTGTAATTGATTTAAGGCTTAAAATTAGAAACATAAATGCCCACAAAATTAAACCAGTTCTAATATTGAGCTAATGCGATGGTCCTTGCTGAAATTTAGCTGGTGTAGTAACTTTGATCCAGACTGGCAAAGCTTCCAGACCAGTGGTTTAGGCAGCAGGACAGAACCAGGAGTCACCCAACAGTTCTGGGAGCCTTTTCTATGTGTGAGGCTTGGTTGTCAGCGTTGAGACCCACAGCGCATGGCTGGATTCAATCTAAAACTACTCCCTACACTACTGCAGCAAATGCTTTTTGCCTGACTATCTCACCTGACAGTGTAAAACGAGAGCTGTCCTGATGCATACCAACCAGCACAGCTACTATTTTCTGAATTGTGATTTGTCACTTCATCTACAGCTACTGGAAAACAAGTGTCATTTCTGCAATTTACTGCAAAACACCTAATGTGGATACAGAGTTAAAAACCTGAGTGAGAACGAAGATAAACTATATTATTTCTACTTTAAATTAATCAAATAATATAGCAGCTTATACGGTTACTGCACACCCATAACAGTGCAAGACCTTTCATCATTCTAGACTGTAAATGATGTCACCAAATTCCCCAGTTTCACGTCTGATGTGCCCCTTACCATCTTTCCCTTTCCTTCACTCTTCATTCCAGTAGAAAACTCATTAAGGCAGCAGCGCATACAATCTTTTAAAACAGGTCTGAATATCACGTACGAAAACTGCTTTTATCCCACAAAATTTGAACATAACCTTGAACACAATATCAGTTTAACTTCTATTATTTTTAGCCTTTCCTTGTATTTTGTACTCATTACATTAGAATTAAAACCCAAAATACATTTGTACAAGTTTATGGAACAATATTTTTGGAGCCTTTCTTCTTTGAGCTTTTGCCCTGGCAGGAAGTGCATCACTTGACGGGCTTATTGTCCAGCTCAAAGAGGTTGAGGATGTCAAGCATGGCCTGTGTGATGTTGTTTCCAAAGCGATGGGAATCCTGTGCAGAAAAAAATGGAGTTCATGACTGAAATTCAGAAGTTGAGATATACCCTCCCCTGCTATGTGTAAATACGTTATAAACTAGACCTTACTGTTAAATACTAGAGCTTGCCAATATCTCTTGAAAAGGTCAATAAAAGTAACTCAGGTTTGTGAGCCTGCAATGAAAATACACTAGAACACTGTTGAACAGTCTCCTCCAGTGCAGGACATCTGAACACGTATTTGCTTACAGCTCTTTCCACGTTTTTTTCAGGATATGACAACTCATTTCTAGGAAAAATTGGGATAACGGATCACAAACCTACTCATACAAAATTTCATGAAACAGGTGATCAAAAGTCTTGAAACCTGCATAGATCAATTAGACGTTCCAACAAGTGTGTGGACACTGTATTGGAATCCAGAAGACTGCTGAAGGGTCCCAGGGCAAAAAAATACTGAAATCCTGTGTTTAAATATCATTCCTGGACCATAATATAAATTTAATTCTTAAGTATCAAATCTCTTGCAGAAGCTGTTTTTTGAGGATGTCTTTAAATTCATAATGGTAAAAACGCTGACACAACAGTAAGAGTCGTTAAACCCATTAAATTATTTATAGACCTGTGGGTCTTGAGGTCAGCAGTTTATCACCTGATCAAGTGGAAAAGAACACTGGAAAATTAGTCCTTAAGATAGATCACTGTTAAAGTGAGAGTGAACTTTCTCACAATTAAATTTCCAAAGTTACAGTGTTTATTTCAAAACAGCAAGTGATAATCACAGCCCTCATTAGAAATGTGCACATTGTGAGACTTCATGATTCATATCCTTTTGTTAGAGTGGCAGATGTATGACTCCACGAGGCACGTATAAATAGGAATGTCATCTTGTGACTGCATTTTAGAAAAAAGTATTCTACCAAATCCTCTTTATTGTGTGAACAGCAAATGCACACAATATAGAGGATGGTTGCATTGTGGCTCTTTGCTCACCGTCTCATGACTGGAGAGTTTGCTGGAAATGTGGAAGTTGATGTGGTTTTCTCCAATAATGATGTAAGAAACTCCATATCCATCATCAGCAACCTGAAAAAGACAAGCTGTCTTAGCAACAGTTTCTTGCACAAGCACCTTCCTAAGGTAATCCATGTAGTGTCTATGTTTCCTGTGGGTGTGAGATGGCATATCGTAGCACACGTGTCTTGGGCGAAATGAGGGGATACCAATGTGGACAAAAAAACCATTGACAACTACTATCACACAGTTTTTCTGAAAGTACAGTTTTGAAAGACCTGCCATATGAAAATGAATACCTCACCAAAAAGTGTGACTTTTTCCTTGCCTGTCGCATAATTTGATGTGACGGACCACCCGGGTTTTTTCATATATACCACTCAGTGTTGGAGACATGCCTTCACGTCATGTCATCCAGCTCTGAGGAGCACTATGTCCTCTGCAGAAAAGACTCACATGAGGAGGATGCGGATTAGCCCTGTAGTCAATGGTGAATGACAAAAACCCACATGGGTGTTTTGGTCTGCTCAATTTTGTGCTTTAGGTGTTGGCAAAGTTCTAATTTGCCTGCTGTCAAGGCTGCTCATTGCGGCAGAGCTCCGGCAGTGAGCACTCACAGGTCCAAAGCCGCCACCACTGGTCACATGATTTGGGTTGTTGCGCAGGTCGAAGAGCTCCAGCTGCTGGTGGGGCGTCTGGCTGGTGGACAGCCTCCAGGGCTCCGACAGCACCTGGGGGAAAACCAAAGCACAGCTCCAGCACAGGGCATAACAGAACTGCCCAGTTAAAGCCCATCCATCCTTTGTCTAACCACCTCTTCCAATTCAGGCACAAAGGGGGAGCCGGAGCCTATCCTGGCAAGCAATGGGCATCAGGCAGGATTCACCCTGGATGGGCTGGCAGTCCATCTCAGGGCACACAGACACACAGACACACTCACAACAGGGCCAATATGCCTTTGGACTGTGGGAAGAAACCAGAGTACCCAGACTAAACCCACACAAACACAGGTAGTACCAGGTTTGGACCCCAGCCCTGTTAGGCAGGAATACTAACAACTGTGTCACACTGCTGTTCTCAGTCAAGTCAAGACGTTTTAATTCAATTCCTCTTCAACCTGTGGTGGAGGTTAATAGAAGGAATCAGACGATGCCTGAATAGACTGGGACTTAGCCTATAATGTAGCTCCTATAAATAAAGAATCTTCTAACTAGGTTTATTATTTGGCATCGTGAGGTAGTGAGAAGGCGGTAGCTTTGTGAGAGGGCCACCTGTTAATGGAAAGAAAATTGTGACAATAGGCACACCTGGTGTGATTGAGTAATTAGCACTCAGAGGAAGTGTAAGAGAGGCCCTGTGTGGAACTATTCACTCCGCTAATTAAAAGGCTCTATGAACTGCCAGAAGGCAAAAGCTTTCAGTGTAGAGGGAGGGAAACTGGGAGACAGAGAGGTGAAAATGGCCCATAGCTGAGAGAATAGTCTAGATGGCACAGGTTGCGTTTCAATTAGACTCAACAGACAGATATGTGGTCATTATGAAAGAAGCCAACAAAAAAAGCAGCTGCTGCTGCTTTGTCAGGGGAGCTAGAGTTGTTTACAGAGTGATCCATGGCCAAACAGGATCAGCCAGGATAGTTAGAGAAGAAAGAAGACGCCAGATATGAATGAAGATCTGATGCTTGGTGAAGAGTTTAAGTTATTTTAGTGAAGACTGTAATTGGATGACACAAGGTGAGTCTAATCGAAGACTCCAGTGTCTTGTGATTCATGAGAACTTCAAGTGAAGTGTTAATGAGAAGATCAAGTGATGTGTTTGAGTAGAGCCAAGTGAAGAGCAAGCTAGAAAGAAGATCGTACACACTTCCCAGAGAGCTCTTAAACACGTTGGAGCTTTAACTGTTGTATTTTGTAAGTGAAATAAAATCCCAAACATGTGACTACAGACAAATAAAGAATAAAGAAAAACGTATTTGATCAATTAAGGTTTCAATTATCTAATGAAGGTGGGATGAAATTAAAACCGGCAGTTGTGTGGGTCACCAGGACTAGAACCCACAGACTAAGGGAGTCCTGGTCACTATGTGTTAAAGACAACATAGCCATGCTCAAACCACACATGTTTTTCTATCTGGTAAGTATCATCACCTTTTAAGTTAAAACAAATTTATTGTAGGATATTTACCTGCTTGAGGAATGGGGAGTCAACTCCAAGATACTTGGACACAACGTAGAGACAGAAGAGGTGACGGTCAATGCCTTTTCCAGTCATGGCCAAACGGTACATATGCTGGTGTTTTTCAGCTGCACGTTGAAACAGCTTAATCTTCTCTTCTTTCTTGAAGAAGAAAGCAAAATTAGTAAGCAACTGAAATAGCCAAGTTATTAAGACCATGACAAGAATGAACTTGTTACAACAAGCCTATACTTGAAAATCCTCACCATCCATTCTTATGTATACCATGCATTGATAACTGTCTAAGAAATAGTTTCTTGCCTTAGTGTCCAACTGGTTTTTAACCACTGCCATGTATACCCCTACATTCTTCTTTTTGAACTGAAGTTGCAGAAACTATCCATCTTACTATTCCCTTTACAAATCTAAGTGAAGACGGGTGTTCTGAGCAGATGTTTCGGCTGATCTGAAGGGTCAGGCTTCTCTTACCGTTGCAGAGTTCATCATTGCACGTACAAACTCGCTGCTCTCCACTGTGCAGGAGCGCACTGTTTCCGTCCTCCCTTCTCGGAAGAGACGCGTCATTGAAGCTTCATAGGTCAGACAGAACTTGCCTTTGTCCTGCCAGCAAACCACACACTCCTTTACATTTAAGCAAAAGTAGGCTAAAAGCTGGGGTTAGTTGTTTTGAGCATGTCACACCTGAAACTTACCAGGGGAAAAGGCTTATGCCAAAAGGTAACCTAAACCCCCACCTAGCTGTCTAATAACTTACTGTACAAGCTTGTGAACTAGCTACCTTATTATTGTAACTAAATAATATTATCCTGAAGAAAACGTTATTTGACCACAACGACTAGTTTAGTTATAGAGGATTCATCCAAGTTGTGGGCTATCCATGATGCTGCCCGAGGAAGTGCTCTCTGTTGGAAATGAGATGCTATTTGCTGTTTTCTGTCTGCATCTAGTTATTACGGTGTTCATTAGGCTGTTCAAGCACTGTTTTATATTTTGTGCTCATTGAGGCAGTTAATCTGTTTCCACTTTAAAATTAAGTGACAAGTGATGAAGAGACACATATTTGTCTGTGACCAGATGATTCAGGGTTGAAGAAATTATGTGTTTTTTTTCTACATCTTACTAACACTGCTCTCAAGGGTATTCAAGCTGTGGAGCATGGCGTATAAGTTCCTTCTAGTTTTTCTTAAACACCATGGAAAATGTAGGTTCCTTTTCTTCAAAGTATGTAGATTCAGCTGTCTTACCCTGAAATGTGCCAGCTGCAGGGCAATCTGAATGAAGGCATCGGGGCTGGTCTTGCATTTCTTAATTAGCCCCTTCCCAAAGGTGTTGAAGGGGACGATGTGGATGTCAACGTCATCGGATAGAGCTTTGGCAACCGTGAAGGAACTGTCTATTACGCCCTGGCACTGGAACACAAGGCAGAGAACAGCAGACCAGTGGGTTAAGCAGTGCATCTTGGTTCCTCTACACTAGTAATGGTCGCAGGTGTACAATGCATGGTTAAACTAGAACAGATAAGTCAAATGTAGTTCAAAATAATGGGTGTGCTTAGAATAAATAACTTCTAACAATGTATTTAATGAAGCTAACAAAGTAAACATTAAATATGAAAGGAACTGAATTCTCTTAGTGCAGCGTCGACACAAGCAAATAAAAAACTTCAAAATGAACCAAGAACACAAACTCCAGTCCACTTCCAGGCAAACTTGGTGCAGGAGACCTAAACTAAGTGTAAACAACTTGTATATAATGTATTTCAAGCCAGACCAAGAAGCTCCCTTGATACTCATGCAGTGTAAATATGCAATACACTGAGTATTAAAACAAAAAATAAATAGTATGCTTAAGGATCACCAGGGGGAGACAGACTACAGAATATGAAGGCCTAAATAGCTGACTTGAATCTTTGGCTCTGTAGTGCTTATATACTGGATTTTGCACAGATTAACCAAGAAGAACCTTGAAATGAGGATTTCCTTCAATTACCAGTCTAACACTGAACGTGCAGAACAGTCGAAACCCATTTTGTACTATACTGAATTATCTTTTGAACCTGGTTAAAAATACTGCTACATCGAATCACTTTATACCTATATATAGGTATATAATATATAGAACTATCCATAGGGCTGTCATGAGTCGACGCATTTAACAACAACAACAACAACATAGTGATACTCTGACTGAGTTACTGTTATTAAAGACATTTTTAATAAATTAATGCAATAGCCTCCCACTAAAACAAATGTTAATGCTTCTGCCTCCATCAAGACAGATCTTGATCTGCACAGAGAATCGTCAGCTCCTTTATTAGAGAGTCCCACTTGATTTGTTGGCTACCATTCTTAAATGATCTAATGAGTCTGAAGAATCACAGCCTGTTTTTTCTGTCTCATTAAACGTCTTTACGGTCAAAGGCCTAGCAGTTTTTCCATAATCTGTTGCAGGAACAAAGTTCAGATAAGGAAGCAAGGAGCCTGACAAAAGGCCGTGACACTGACTCCTGTGCTCCTGATCTCTTTGGCACAGATTAAACAGCCTATGGCAAACCCATACACCTGTCCACCCTGCATGTCGAGTATAATAAGGTTTTTGCACTGATACGCCGTCACACATACAGTACATGAGACCATTGCTCCTACATTGTTTTGCATACTGTAACTTGGATCTCTCTTGTTAAAACGCAACTTTAAGAGGATATCTTGAGCCAAACTGAAATCCAACAAAAACTATTGAAGACACCAGATCAGAACATAACTGTAGTTGTTCGTAAGTGCATGCCCTAAAACATTACCATTACCCACTACTCAATTTTGCAAAATCAGAAGACAAAGAAAAGCTGTGCTTGCGTCCACCACACAATGCCACAATGCCCGTCCATCCAGATTTAAGAGCTCACCTCTTCTGTGATGTCCCACTGCAGTCTCTGAGGGCCGGGAATACTGGAGTTGAGCTCTCCTTTGCAATGCCCATCCTCCGTGTAACCGAGCTGGAAAGAATCGATTGCCAGGACTTGCTGCAAAACAGGAACAGTGCAGACATGCTCACAGATCATTTCTGTAGTAGAGTAACCCAGCATCACCAATAATCCTTAAGCCTTTAAAAATCAAGGCCTCCAAATAATCCACATCTATAAATTGCCTTCATCAGCCATCGCATCACCCAGGTGGGGCTGCACACTGGTAGTGGAGGGGAGTCCCCATTACCTGTAAAGCACTTTAAGTGGAGTGTCCAGAAAAGCGCTATATAAATGTAGGGATTATTATTATTACCAAGGCACAAAACAGAGCCGAAAATAAACAATTTCCTGCATTCAACTGACATTTAAGTCAAGATGGCAAAGAGGAAGTAGCTCCAGAAATAATAGAAATTAAAAATAAAGAAGTTTTGTCATAGTATTAATTTTAGCTAATAAATGCATAAGAAAATACAGGATGCTTTCTCACACAACCATAAATCAATTTATAAATGTATAATGTCAGTAAAAATGTATAACCTCAAGTGTTCTATAGTGACAGTGTACTGTACATATGGTGATCCCATTCATTAAGACGTAGGCAAACATTAAATTAGCTTATTGGCAAAAATGCTAATACTCATTAACACAATTGCAAAAATGAAAGAGAAATCTCCGGATCAAGAAAATGAGCAAATTTGCTTAAATATTTAATGTCTGAAAAAAACTGATTGAAAAGGCCACTAATCACACATTTCTACACAGGTTCCTGTTTAAATGCATTCAAGTATTAGTTGAGCAGATGCGATTCTCTTTGCTTTGTGAGTGCAGGAATGGTCTTATCTGTGTCGTACCTCCCACAGGTGTCCTACAATAGGGGCATCAGCCCAGGAGTGCTCTGCATTCAGCCCCATGGTTCCATTCTTGTAGACAATGAAAGTGAAAGATTTATCAAACCACCTAATAAAAAAATAACAAATTTACAAAACACTTAAAAGTTAGCCAAGTCTTAAACACATTTTGTATAAAGATCAATGCAAATCCATACTTACATTAAAGTCATGTTACTAACTGACCTATTCTAAAGCGACTAATTCTGTACTTCAGCTGGGACGGTACAAAATTATACAGACTTATCTATAGAGTTGGAAGATATTTTCTTATAAAGTCAGTTCCCATTGCGAACTTTTTTGATTGAGAAACAGTTGTCCTTACCTTTCATGACTAGAACTAGCCCCAGATCTCCATCCTGCTGAAATCTAATGGAACTAGTAAAAACTGCAACTCGATCCTGCACACCATTATTCATCATCACATCCACTGAAGGCTATCCTACACAAATAATGGGATGGAACAAGACTCTGGACACATGCTGAATCCTGTTCGGGATCCCTTTCTGCTCCCTGCAGCCCAACACAATGCTTAGCAGGAGTTCTCAATATTTGTCAAAAAATCCAGTTAAAGGCATAATTAAAATCAACTGGAAATTGGGAGAATTAAAGAAACAGGATGGATTTCAGAAGAATCAGGTCAATTGGTACACCCAGCTTATTCGTCAATTCCTCAACCTTACAGGACAGCAGTCTCTCACCAGTTGGCACCAGAATGGCTGCTGTGTGCACAATTAGGGCACAGAAAACCACAGGGAGATCCAGGTGGATTGTGACTGTACTGTGGCACACTTTCCGTAGACCTCACAAGCCTTTCAATACGAGACAAATCACATCTTTTGTGTCATTAAAATACATGTTTCCTTTGTGGCCAACACGACCTTGGCTCCATGAATAATTACATTTTCATTCAAGCCCGTCTAACAACAAACGACCCTGCAGGTGGTTGTGTCCGCAGTTGTGTGAGCATGTATACGCGCCAGATTCTTACATCTCACAGGCCCTGCAGAGACCTGCGGCTGTTCCATCTCTCTGTTTGCGAACGGGGAGCTCACCTGTCGTAGCACTGGCCATGAAGCAGAGATTTGGCATAGTTGCTCAGAGAATCCACAGGACTCTCCTTCACGAAGCCCTGCTCGCTATCATCCAGAGTCATGAAGAAGGCTGCCTTCTCCACAGTGTCCAAGGCTTGCTTATTCTTCCCTTTACTGAAATAGGCCTGACGAGCACTGGCCCAAGGCACTCTTGGAAAGTAAGTGAGAGAGGGCTTTCCGTCAAGCTCAATTCTGTTTTGACTTCATTCCTACTTTACAAAATATTCTAACAGGCATAACTTATTGTAACAAAAACACTCCTTCAAATCAAGCACTATCAGAGCACAATTATACTATTCACAACTGCAGCCCTTCCGACAAATTTCTAGAAGTTCTTAACCAATGTTCATTAGTGATAACGAACAGACAAGCCAGCAGTAATTTTGGTAACAGTAGATTCAGTAAAATCATCTGTGTTTAATGTGTTGGTGGTGTTAATATAAAAAAGATATTGACATTTATTAGAAGCAATTAAGTTGAACTTTACTTTACTTCCAGATAAATCACTAAGACAGTATTTTATCATTAGACACTTTACACACTGATGACAGGAAAAGAGGACAAGGTGTCCAAAGCAACCTCACCTGTCTCCTGCTGTCAGGGCAGCCAGTTTCTCCTCTCCTGGCTGTGGTTCAGACTTGTCTGCCAGAATTCTCTCCATCTGCTGCTCAATCTCCCTGGGCTTCAGCAGACGCCCATCATGATACATCCAGACCTTGAAGAAGCGCCCCTTGTGGTAAACCACAATGTGCTTGCTGTCCCTCATGTGTTGAAGGGTGTCTAGATGCGCACACAGGGAGTGAAAGGAGTTTTCTGTACTTCCAAGCCTGCCACAGCTCTTCACAACACATCAGGCAATGGCTCACAGTCTTGGCTAGAGTTCGCTAAGACTACAAGCAAGCATTGCTTCTTCAATTTGTGCAGCAGCAGCTTCATTTCAGTGTGTGTGTGTGGACTGGCACAGAACCCAAAAAGTGCATGGAAACTTCACAGTGTTTCATTGCTCTTAGTTTTTTTTTTTGCTTTTGCTTTATTTCAAGACGGAGGTCTCAAACTCTTTGTGTCTTCTGGTTTTTGTTTCGTCTTGAGTAGTCAATTAAACAGGCCACCTAATTGTGTTCTAGACGTATACAGTATGGGACGTAGGTATAGGTACCTAACTCTGAGCCTAGTTGGAGGTATTGCAGCTAGTTAAATAATTTAACCAACTACATAGCTGAGAATGTGGTTGAAACAAAAATCAGAAGACACAAGGTTCTCCAGAATTTGAGACCCCTGTTATATAGAAACGTGAAATCATCCTGTGTTGACCACATAGTGGATATTTGCTTTATATTAGTTTAACAATCTGGAACATCAGGTTTTATTTTACATTTCACTTTACCGCAAGCCAAGTAATCATTAGCTATCTATCAAAAATCAAACAATGTGATGCATATATGTTATAGTGATCACAGAAATTGTTTTTTTTTTCTTTGGCAACACAACTGCCAACAAAAGTGGTATCAATATTCTGTCAATAAAGTTCTTAGATGAAATACTGTGAAACCTCCATCCAATATTTTGAGTGCTACGTGTACTTTTTCTTAAATATTTTTTTTAGACATGTATAGACTTTACTTTTCTCTAATTCCAGAATTTCATGTTCACAAAAAGGCAGAGATTTCAATTTTAGTGAAAAAGAAAGCAACAGAATACAAAATCTGACTACAAACTAATGAGGGCTATTTCAAGGAACCAAGGAACGAAGAAAAAATGTTGATAGAATGATTTACAGAGGCCTAAACAATGTTGTTTCATGAGCAGCACTGACTGAAGAATGCTTTTGAATTGGCTCCTGGTTTTTGTTTTGTTTTTGTGTAATGTTTTAATTTTTTTAATCAAACTTTCCAGCGCTGCTCACTCGGTATGAAACAAGCTTGTAGCCCAGAAAAACAAGACAGGGGTTCGTGATCTGACACTCTTCCTCTGAGCTTTAGTCCAGAACTATTGTCTCGCACCCAGGATGTTTTGCTGAAGCTGATGTTTGAGAGTCACACTAAATAGCATTGTATCGTCACATAGTAATCAAGCCTAAAGAAAGGGACAGGTTTGTAGTTATATGAAGATAATAATATCTTGTTTCTATCAAGCGCAAAAACCTGTTCAACTAATCAAAAGCCTAGCTCTCCTCAGTGGCAGACTGATTCTTGCATTAAAGGGGCATTTAAAGTAAGAAAACACTGCATTAAAAGGGCCTCTACTACTTGTAGACTTTAATCTTGATCATGAAAAATGACCCATAAAGTGAAGGAATTACTGCACACTGACTACAGTGAGAAAAACTGTGTACATGTATTGTATGAATTTAGGAAATGTCACTTTTTTTCTGAGAAGCATTAGCTCAACATACAGTATTCAACATGTTTTTTTTTTATATTTTATCACTGCTGTCACACAACATCATCTCTCAAATACAACGTGTTCTCTATTCCTCAAGAGCTTCCCACCAATTTGCTACAACAGAATTTGTTTTCCTTTCTGCAAGGAATGTAAGTACAAAAATGTGAAGACTCGCCAGCTTCTGTGTAGTTAATTTCATTAGGCAAAATTCTATGGGCCTTGATTTCAGTGCCTTTAGGGAAGGGGTTTAGCATAGGAAACTGGGGGAATTCTCTGGATGAATAAAGCCCAAATAACATCTCTTAACACACACTAAGGAAAGCAGAAAGAACACACACAGGACCACAAGCCGGAAGAAGGCTCTCATTCTCTAACTGCAGAATCCAATGCAGTCTGCATTACTATGCATTAGGGTGAGCTGATAACTAATTCTTCTTCAATATTAAATGTAAAAAAGAAATTCATGAATCTCTCTCTACAGAAGCAGAAAAGGAATTATCTTGGCTTCCCTTTGACATCCTACAGTCAGTCTGCAGTGGAATTTTCATTTATACTGGCTTTTACATATACACCTATAAACATTTCTTCATGTATTCTATGTTCTACTACTACTATTAATATTGCACAATAATGACATAAACAAAAGCCACTTCATTCGTCTGGAAAACACAATAGGTGTGTCAATTTGTTTTATTCTGTTTTGGTTATTTTGAAAACTGAAAGAAAAATGCTCCCATTCATTTAAAAAGGGGCAGACCAGTACATGGCTTCTGCTCCCCAAACTCCCCTACTTGATCCTGCCTATGCTCAGAGTCTCATGTTTAACTACACAATAACCTCCATTATCTACAAAACTGAGAAATGTCTTGCTTACAGTCTGTTAGCAAGACTAAAGCACTTTCATACATACAGTAGATTCTCGTTTAAATGTAATGTAAGAATTGTCTCAGTAATCAATTTTTATAACCCACCCTGTAACAGGAGTTGCAAGATTCTAAGTCAGTGCTTTGGCAGGACAATTATCAGCCAGGTGAGAGAGGTGATTTATTTCTGCATGCCAGTTTTAGTATGTATAATTAGACTCATGTTATTTTGTTACAGTAATATAGTATTAAGATTTTAATTCCATTATCATTTTCTTTAACCAAATGCAAGGTTTAAAGCACCTAGTGGTGAGGAGCCTTCTCCTGATTTCCTGAACTTTCAAAAGCCTTTCAGACGTGTCACCCTAAAAATCAGATCGGTTTTATATCTGGACTCTGAACTGCTAGAGTACTTTGTCTTAAGAGTTGCCTTGACAACTCCTGGTGTGGAACTCCAATTATGACTAAATTTGGGTTATCTTTATTTCATCTATGCCATTATCACAGGGTTGTTGGTGAAAGCTTATTTATTAGACAGAAATAAGGCAGGTCATGATTCCTGCAACTGGGTACAAGGACACTGTCAATTTTTAACCCTGCAATGGCCAATATAAGAATAGAATAGTAACATGGAGGAAATACTGTGCACTCCATGACTTTTCTGTGGATCTGTTTTCCCACTGAAAATATGGAAACTATGTTCTTTGTATACAGTGAGAATAATCCACTCTGAGCTGAAATGAATATGGTCTTTTCAGTTCTTTGAGAAGCATATTACAGATTTTACTCTTTTCAGCTTTCATCCTCATATCAAGGTATCAATCTGAGACATTGTGTATATAGTTGCAAAATTTCACAAATAACAATAATAATTATTTTCAGTGGTGAAAAGTATCTGCAGGTTATGAAGTCTAAGGATAAAATGAATTTTCCTTCTATAATTCAGTTATCAAAACAATGCACAATCCCTGAAATCCAATATTTAGCCTTCAGCAAGTTTTTCTCACACTTATGATAAAGTGTAAGACACTTTATAGACCACAGTTTGTTAAGAAACTGTGAGTTGTACACTAATGTCATAAAATGAGTTACTCATGGGTTTGAAATGTCTGTACTTCCAGTTTCTTTTAATAATCTACATAAGCTAAAACAGTAAGAAAAATTTCAATCTGTAAATACAGAAAAAGTCAAAAACAAAAGTCATGAAGCCCACTCTTACAATTATCACAACTACAAAAATTCCAGTAATGGTTCTCAGATCAGATTTGCCTTAATGTTTGCGCTTGGTTTTGCGTCTGTCTTGCATCTAGAAAAGCATGCAGAACAGCCACAGGAGTTGCTTGGTTAGAAGGAGCTAGATAGCACAAAGAGAGGAGAGGGAAGGCTCAGACTCTACCTGTGTCTACACCTGGGATGCGACTGGTGTTGAACATACGCTCATACTGGGACGAGCACATTGGAATAGTGTTTTGAACCATAAGCTGAAAAGGAAAAGTCAGAGTCAAGAAAAAAAAAACTGAACTAAACCAGACGAACAGAATAAAGAAGGTCACCCGACAGGGTGCAGGGAGATGAGCTC